CACCTTTCTCTTCACTTTTACACTACATGTTTCAGCACTAATGTGCCATCTTCAGGTGTGTCTCTATGCACATCAAACTACTGCACTGCATGCCATGACATCTTCATTCTAAAATGACTAAAATGTGTAGTCGTCATGTATAACAATAAATTCTAAATATTAAAACCTTTCAGGATTTGTCATCCATACGTCATATCTCAAATACGCAAATCACACCAATCCTCCTCTATGGGAGCACTCTTCCTACATTCATGTGTATATTGTGCTCTGTGTTGTGTGTTTCTCCTATGACTGCGTGCATTGTGCTACTGGATATCCAGCACAATACACACGTGAATGTAGGAAGAGTGCTCCGACAGAGGAGGATTGACGTGATTCACATATTTGAGATACGACGTAAGGATGACGAATGCTGAAAGGTTTTAATATTTAGAATTTATTGTTATACATGACGAATACACATTTTAGTCATTTTAGAATGAAGACATCATGGCATGCAATGCAGTAGTTTGACGTACATAGAGACACCTGAAGATGGCACATTAGTGCTGAAACATGTAGTGTAAAAGTGAAGAGAAAGGTGAAATTAAATAAAAAGTGTGCACTGTAAGGTGGTTAGCATAAATACACATAATGGATATTGAAGGAAAGATAGAGGGGTGGATAGAAGTGACCAGAAGACATAAGAAGATGCTAGATGACCTTGGGACAGAAGAGGATATTTTCATTTGAAGGAGAAAGCTCTAGATTGCATCAAGTGGAGGAACTGTTTTGGAAGAGACTGTGGACCTGTCATCTTGATAGATTACTGATGATTGAATGAGTATAAGCTATTTGTGCATGAAGTTTTTGTCTTCTATCATTGTAAGTACATATTGTTTGTAATATAAAGTAAATACAAACCTGACCCCATTGAAGAGTTTGTAAGAGTTAGACCTTCAGTAGAAGAACCTGAAATAGATATGGAGGACCACCACCGAACTGTGGTTAGAAGAGAAGACCTGTGGCTGATAGCCATGCAGACTCAGTGGGGTATATGGAAACATACAAACTTGTGCCCATTCCTTTAACATAGACTAACAAAACTGCAACTAGAATATGCAATGTGTAGAGTGACTAAGATTTTTTTGTGCATACTGTGTAGTACCTGTACATCTCAGAGACTGTTAGAAAAGATATCACGCCCAAAAAATGTTTAATTCTAAAAATATGTAACAGTAATTTCACCTATATATGGATTTAACCTTGAGAGAAAAAAATTTTGTATGAAGTTGATAGCAATGATATCCCCCAATAATTACTAAGTCAGTTTTGTTGCCCTTCTTGTGAACTGGTAAAATAATAGACTCCTTCAACTGATCAGGCAATTTTTCCTTATGCCATATAGAAGTAATTAGCTTATGGATCTTAGAACATAATATTTCACTTCCTGCATTAATCACATCTTCTGGAATTTGAACACTGCCTTGCGATCTATACATTTTCAGTTTTGCAATAGCAGTTTCAACCTCAAAAGAATGAACATTCATAACAATGATATCACACCAGTATGGTATGAATGAATGAATGAATGAATGACCTCTTAGCATTCAGTATTGTGTATGACATACTACCACTAACGAACTCTACCCTCGTAACTGCTGATACGATTCTCTTGTGTACAGAAACCTGTACCCAATTCATGATTCTGATCCACCTTTCTACAGAAAAATGTATATTTGCCTGCTGGTTAACTTTAGATAAGAATTGTGTAAGAACCAGATGACTGGAGTTGACTCATTTTGTCTGGTTGTTGGCTGGCCAGACTTACATCTGCTAGCTTTTGTGTGTAATATATACAGGATTAATTGTTTTTTTAATTCGCTATTTGGTGGGGGGGGCGGTGGAGTCCAGCTGGGTCCACTCAGCATGGCAGCCACTGATTGGCCTATTGTACCTGCCCCGGGTGATTATGATGGTGGAGAATTTGATGGAATTATGATTGGCAGGGGAACCGAAGTACTTGGAGAAAACTCACCCCAGTGCAACTTTGTCCACCATAAATCCCACTTGACCAGACCCGGGATCGAACCTGGGCCGCCCCGGTGGGAAGCCAGCGACTAACCACTTGAGCTATGGTGCGGCCTCTATATACAGCTTAATAAATCTTCTGTATTCTGTAGTGAGTATTTGCACTTTGTGGTTGGAATACACACTCAGCTAGCCAAGTGACAGTCATCATCACTGAATGATTATGCTACCCATAATTCAGTTAACCCACCAACATGTTCGGTCACGACACTTTACCTAAGCTTTTCTCTCTCACTATTATCCATATATCACATCCCTTTGCATAAAGTCTTTCTGACCCCCTCTCATTCCTTTTGTAACTATCCACTGTTGGCCCTCAGATGTACTTATACCTTGTTCAGAGCTGGATCATGTTCCTGTAAGCAAAAGTCCTTGTAATTAGACACCTTGTAGTCAGATGTGGAGTGAAGCATATTGTTTCTTACAATTTGTTTTATGCTTATTTGTACCTTTGTATTATAGATGTCTGAACAGCATGTTCATGGCTGTCAAATACTGGATCTTCTGCATAGGGAAGTGACATGCAGTGTGAATGATGTAAAAGAGCCTCTCAAATGGTTAGTTTTAATGTCTTAAGTTAGGGATGAGTGCACAATTAAAATATTTAACTGTCTGTATATGTTTTGCATTCTGTTCTGCTTCAGTTCAAGTTAAAAAGGTACATAGAGGGACTCTCCATTTGTAAACATGAAAACCGCAGTCTGGCTAAATGAATTTTCATGAAATTTAATGTAAGTGAACTTCTCAAATTTTACTGGTAAAATTTCATTATAGTCCAGTCAGACAGTAATTGTTCATGTGAAGTGATACTCTAAATGGGAGTACCACACTGCATAAAACCCCCCAAAATACGAGGGGGGACCCAAAAATAACCGGAACCGACCTGTTGCGCGCGCATGCTTTGTAGTTACGAGTTGTGCTGCTAGGTGGTGTTAGCTGGGGGTCTCCCACGACTGTTAGTGAGCTGGTGTCAGTCTGAGTCAAGTGGTTTGTCTGTGGTGCTCTGCTGTGTGCGTTCTGTTTCAACCCTTTGGCGATTAGTGAGATGGCCGACCAGAAGGAACAAAGAGTGTGCGTGAAATTCTGGATCGTTCTGCACTTCACTCTTCAAGTCGCGGCAAACATTCACACGGTTTTCTCTTTGGTCATCTCCGAGCAAGCAAGGAACAAATTTTGCAGACACCCGTCTCATGTGCAAACCTTCGGTTAAAATTCGCTGGGCCGTGCTCCATGAGATGTTCGTTTCCTCAGAAAGTTGGTCAATGGTCTTTCGACGATCTTCATCAAGCAAAATTTCACGCACACTCTTTGTTCCTTCTGGTCGGCCATCTCACTAATCGCCAAAGGGTTGAAACAGGAACGCACACAACAGAGCACCACAGACAAACCACTTAACTCAGACTGACGCCAGCTCAGTAACAGTCGCGGGAGACCCCCAGCTAACACCACCTAGCAGCACAGCTCGTAACTACAAAGCATGCGCGCGCAACAGGTCGGTTCCGGTTATTTTTGGGTCCTCCTTCGTATATTGTGCTTCACTGCTTCATGTTGCTAGCCTTTATCTTGAACTGTACTTAACTGTGTACACTGACTTTACTCTGACTTTTGTAAGCAAGATGGTTTAAAAATATGGGATTAAGATTAAAAATAAATTTTGACAACTGGAGGGTTCCATAGGGATCAGTGTTCATTGCATGGTTTTCTATATCGAGGAATATGAATAAAATGTATAAAGATACGACCAGTATTTCAGAGAAGCCTACTGCCTGCTTCCAGGTCAAATTGCTTTATTTTTCTAATTGTATTCGTCAGTATGGTGGTATAGCCAGGAGGAAACACCATGAAAAATAACATGTATTTACATGAGGTTTATCATTAATGTTTTATATTTGGAATTTAATTGGTAAAATACTTCCTTGTATTTTATTATTAATATTGATGTTTATGTATAATGCAGTATGCTTAGCTCACAGTTATGAGTAAAAGCCTATAGCTTGTTGGTCTCACCCTTCATTCACATGACAGTGATTAGATGCGGATCAGTGTGTTTGTTGGTAGTGTTGAGTCATGACATGCTATCCTCTCATGAATATATTTCATCTGTTTTCAAGTGGTCCCTGTTTTCATGGTCGTCTTTGAAGATCCAATGTATGCAGAAATCGGTATCACATGTTTAATGCCTTATTGCTTTGCTTTGAATTTAAATGAGTTATCAATATCGTCATTGTCACTGTCATCACTGTGTTGGATTAAATTCTTTTCATGTCTAATTACAAAGTTTAAAATTGTTTTTTCTATCATTTTGTCATCATGTTGTATCCTTTAGTATATGTTTAATTTTTTTAATTTAGTTGTTCAGGATTGAAATGTACATATATTCCATCATTGCTGGCAGTTTTTTACCTCTGTCAACAGGGCAGAGGAGATGTACATATAAGTGAAAAATGAGGTCATATCAGGTACTGAAAATCAGTTTGATATTTGTTGGCACACATTGTTTTTCTTTCTTTATTGTTGATCTGATAAATTCTGGTATATAAGGATTAAATTACATTAATCCGCTCAGAATTGAAGACGATAATACCGCAGTTCTTATGTCTTGTATTTTATTTCCTGTTTTCAAAATAGCAAGAAATGGAAAGATTAAAGTTAGGAAGCCTTCTGACTAACTGGTAGTTTGCCATTGGGTTCTGTTTCCATCTGATTAAGGTTTTGTTTCTTTACAGCATTATTCAATCCTGTCATGTGGTGTTCTTTAAACAGCTGTCCAGTTGGCTCTTATATGGTCAGCTGATTGACCAATATGCTGAATTCTTTATACAGCATGTATCAGATGCCCAAGGGACAAGCACGTCGACAACTACAGATAGCTTCTCCAGCCAGGATACCAATGAAGTATTGTCCCTGGTATGTTGCGGTGTTTCATTCAATATACACATCACTTATTGTACGAACAGTCATAATTGCTTTACCTGTTAGGTAAAGCGCGCGCGCCCACACACACACACACACACACACACAGACACAGACACAGACACACAAAGTGTCCACTGTCACGTCTTCACTGACGTTGCTTGGTAGCAGCTTACAGTGGTGGACGTTCCCCTTCCTCTGGGTTCCTGAACTGTCCATGGCCTCAGCTACCAGCTTCTAAAAGCAACAGCTCACCACGACTGAACTCCAGCAGATCTCTAACTAACTGCAACTGCTGACTTGTCCTGGTTATAACATTTCTGCATGGGCCGTGTAGAAAATGTCTCTTCCATTATTGCTGTATTCTTTTGTTGCTGTGGAAACATGCTTATTTGCCGAGCTGTTACTTTGTCACTTTTTTCATGGTCATTGCCTGGCAATGGGTCTACATGCCACAATGTGTAACTGTTATTAAAATCATTCTTTAGGAGGCAGGTAAACATGGAAACTCTGCAAAAAGTTTAGCTGTGATGGTGAATGGAATTTGTTGGGTGACAAATACATCTATTAACCCTTTCGCGCGGTCATTTAAATTCCGCTGCCGTCTCTCCGGTGGTAATATATTCAGCTGGCCATTTAAATTTTGCTCGAAAATGATTTATTCATCATTGTTCTTAAATTATATGAGATAGGAACATGAAACTTTCACTAAAATGATCTTAAAAGGTGGTTTTATAACCTTACCTTATAATATGAGCGCCCGGTATCTCGGCAGTGGAAGCAGTTGGTTTAGAATTTGAGCAGTGTATGGTACGCTTTGAAGCATGAAACTTTCACTAAAATGATCTTAAAAGATGGTTTTATAACCTTGCCTTATAATATGAGCGCTCAGTATCTTGGCAATGGAAGCAAGTGACGCCTTGAAGCATTCTTCTAAACACAACGCTGGCTCACATTCACCACACCAATATTGTGTATCTTTTCTTTGGTCCTTTTTTTTTTTAACCACACATCTTCTGTGCGCCCTTGCCTTCTTCCCCGTGGGGGGAATACAAGAGGAAATGTCTCTCTGTGAGTCGTATAGGTTGCCAGATTAGCTGCAGTAAATTCAACCTTTATGTTATCATAACAAGGGGTTGGTGCTTCTGCGTTTCAAATTCCATTCATTTTGGCTACAGCAGATGTCGTAGGGGTGACCACAGAATTCATGAAGTTATTCTAAGAACTGGCTGGTATGTAGTGCACGAAAGCAGAGCTTAGCTGGCTCAAAAAAAATATTTATGGTCATCCCTCGAAACGACCACCAAGGTCAGTACGATAAAATGGCGTCAACTGGAGCGATAATACATGAAGGAATGAGTTCTTTTCCCCCCCACACACACCAGTATCGTCATAGGGGGTGACCACAGTGTTCTGCCTTAATTCGTGACGTTTTTCTAAGAACTGGGTGCTATGTACTGTGCGAAATCAATCGATCTTGCAAGAATAAATTTTTGGACATCCCTCTTCTAAGAATTCCAATTGAGTGTGTTAGTGTGGCCAGCTCAGGGCAATATGATATTATAAATACAGCACATATCAGGTCTCTGCTGTTTATAACGTCATAGGAAAGAAAACACGCCATTCATAACAGTTTGAATGAGGAAACCTCTCCCAAGAGCAACAGGAATTTTGCTGCAAGACAGGCATATGTAACGATGACTTGGCGCAGATAAACTCGTGTCTCATTATATATAGTTCTTGTGACAACAGGCCAGCGAAAAATCTAACAATCTACAGCAAAACCATCAATTATTATGGGCGTTATAACATAGGTGTGCAGCTGGACGAAACATAGACGTCGAACCCCCGCAGACGATTTAAATACCTGACGAAACATACATGTCAAACCACGCTGAATGGTTAATATTGTGAGTGGTGTTAGTGCTTTTCTTGTAAAAGCATTTCTGGTTCTACTGACATGTGCTTTTAGCATCCAGGTCAAAACATAGATTTCATTTCATTTCATTTTCATTTTTATTATCATTCAACAATCCATACATACAGGTATTACAACCATTTGGATAAGGAAATTGTCAGTTTTACATCTAATTCTCATGCATATCTTTACAGTATACACTGTACCACCCTAATATAGGGGGTTTGTCATCTGAATAATATTATCTAGATCTAGTTACCATTAATTTCATTGTCTTTACACAAATACAACAAATTAATCAGCTACATATTACATTTACACACTTGATGAATCAAAAGACATAAATTCATCTACAGAATAAAAGGAATGTTTCAGCAAAAAAGATTTTAATTCCTTTTTAAATGAGTTAAAATTTTCCCTTTGTTTTATTTGATTGGGGACCTTATTATACAAACTAATTCCCATATTTATCACACTCCTCTTAAAAAGAGCTGTATTACAGTGCTGTACATGATAATTTAATTTTCTTCATGTGTTATAATTATGAATGTCTGAATTTATTACCATAGAAGCCTTGTATTTTTTGATAAAGCGTGTCATGTCCAATATATACAGAGAAGGCAATGTTAAAACGTTGTAATCTTTAAAAATTTGTCTACATGACGTGCGACTACTAATGCCACTAATCACTCGAAGAACCCGCTTTTGCAATTTAAAAATGCTTTTACTTTCCCCATCCCCACCCCACAATAAGATACCATTTCTCATACATGACTCAAAATTAAAAAAATAAATAATTTTTATCATCTATGGATTCATTATTTCTTTTAATATTTTCACCATATAAATTATTTTGCATAGCTTTGCTTTTAGAAATTGAGCATGAGCGCACCATTTTAGGGTTTCTGTCATGTGAATTCCAAGAAATCTCAATTCTGACAGATATACTATTTCTGTATTATTAAAAACTATTTGTGGTCTTAATGGATCTCTCCACTGTTTGAATGAAATGACATGGCAGATTTCTTTGTAGTATTTATTACAAGGTTATTTTTTGAAACCATATTTCTAATTCTTTCATAACATTAATTTTTATATTGAAGGTCAAGTTCATCTTTTCCAGTAATTAACAAATTGGTATCATCTGCATATGAAACCAGCTTTTCTCCTTGAACATTTTCTGTAAGATCATTAATGTATAGTAAAAATAAAAGTGGCCCCACACTGATCCCTGTGGTACACCATACTTCACTTTCCTAAATGATGAATTATAACTGGTTTTGACACTGCCGTCAGTGTTTTTTATTTCTACATATTGGATTCTGTTTGACAGGTAAGACCTGAACCACATATTTGTCATGCCTCTTATGCCACATGAGTCTAGTTTCTCTAAAAGTATATCGTGGTCTATTACGTCATATGCCTTAGATCAGCTGTGTCAAACATGCGGCCCCTCAACTTTTAGAGCTAATTGATATTGAAATCAATATTAAAATTTTAGTAGAACTATTTTTTGTAAAGACAATTTCCCAACAGACCAGAAGACAAGAAGTCTCATGCAGACATAAATTAGCAGGCTGCAGGAAAAGTGATTCTGAGAATTGCAGAAGGGTTTGTCCAACTAACAGTTTGTAAAGTTCATAAAGGACAAACTATTGTATTTCAGAAGGTTAATGCACTAAAATCCGCACAGCCTCACTGCCCCAAGTATTTCCAAGAATCCCTTTTGGAGGCATATTAAGAATGCAAGGAGGGTGACAACTGACAGACAAGTGCAAGGGACTTCTACCTTTAAACTAGCTTGCAACCCCCAGCCATTGTCTAATGGCCTGCTAGCAAACTTTCACTTTTATGACCATTGAGACAAGATACACGTTCCTACTAGTCCGGTAGTCTCTTGTACATTGTCATTTAGTTCATTTTCACACAGTGACAGGTGCTGATGTTACATTGTAATGAACATATAAAGGTTATAATTAAACATTAAATTATCAACTACGAGTTTTCTTGTATATGTACAGTAAATTTTAAAGGGCAATGTCGCTTTCAAAAAATTCAAGTAGCGAAAAAAGAACTATTGAAAGTGAGCGCCGTGTTTTTCAAGAAAAATGGGAAATCGCTTATTTCTGTCGTGAAATAGAAGGTAAAATTACGTGTTTGATTTGTGGGGAAAATATAAGTGTTCCACTTTAGGTAATTATATTGAAATTATTCCTAAATAATAAATAGAATTAAATTTCCTTGTATCAAAATCTAATGTATATTTCTATTTTGAAATGTGGCCCTGGACTATTATTTATAGGGCTGAGTTGGCCCTCTGTACAAGTTGAGTTTGACATGCCTGCCTTAGAAAAATCAAAAAATAATCCTATGGCATATAGGCCGTTATCTAAGGCCTCCTGTATACTTTCAATAAAAGACTGACTTGCTGTGTCAGTAGATTTATTCTTTCTGAAGCCATTTTGGGCCTCTGTCCACATATTATTTTGAATTAAAAACGGCATTTGCCTATTATATATCAATTTTTCTAATATTTTGGAAAATACCGATAAAATGGTTATCAGTCTATAGCTTTTAATATCATGATATTCCCCTTTTTAATGCAGAGGTATCACTTTAGCTAATTTTAATCTATCTGGGAAGGTGTCTGAGCTCAAAAAGGCATTGAAAAATAGAGCCAGTGGTGTTTTTACAGAATTTATACATATTTTAACAAGATATTCTGGTATCTAGTCATATCCTGCAGATAATTTAACTTTTAGACTATGTATAGACTGATATGCAACTTGACAAGTTTCCTGATACATGTCAGTTCTTTATTAGTGTGCATACTATTGTTTACTAACTGAAAAAGGGTACTGAATGATATAAAAGGCCTATAAGAAATTATTCTTTCAAACCCTGAAGTGTTATTATGGTAACGTTTTTGTTCTGTTTTCAGGAGCCAAGAAGATTCAGCAGGGATGATTCTGTACATAAATATGCTATCCAGTATACCATGCTTCCATCTTACATCATTCCATCTCTGGCACATAAAATTCTGTTCATAGGGGATACAATTGTAATGTTTGGATGTAAACCAAAGGAAAAAAATGGTATGTTTCTGAGACAGAACCTTAAAAATAAATGATGACAACTTTGATGTCAAATGTTTACAAATCTTCTCTGTATTGTACAGGTCCTGGTTTTAATTCTCAGCCTGAAGACCAGCTGTACTGACTGAGGTTTTTGTGGTTTTCCCAGTGCCTTCAGACGAGTATACCATAAAACATTTCATAACTGCTTCTTGCCACATCTTTCCCATATCATTAAATACAAACATCTTTGTACTTAATACTATACAATGAATGTAACTGAAAAGATATCATTTATTTAATTAAAAAATAAAACAGGATGCTGAAATGTAATACTTTTCTTGTTAAACAAGATTGTGACATTACCTTTTTTGTCCAGAAACAGGCTCCTATATGTCACAGTACATACCTTCATTGTGGGGTGACAGAGAAGTGGAATTCTTTAAGAAGCTTCAGAATTTGCAGGCTATGAAGACCTTCAGCCACACAGAGTTTGAGAAGACTGTTGATGAATTCCAAAGTTGTGTCACAGAGGTGATTTTCTTTTGTGTCTCATATATCAAAAGCATTGTCAAATGATATTTACTTCATTCTAATTATTATGCATATTGTTTTGATTTGGTAATAGGCAGTGGGTGTGAAATGTCGTCAGTTATCCTAAAGGACAGATATAGGTTCAGGGTGTCTGAGAGCAGGCTGCTGAAAAGAATATTTTGACCTTAGTGGAAGTAATAGACAGCTGGACTAAATGACATGACGAGGAACTAATTTGTAATGTTTCTCGAATATCAGTAGGGTAGTGAAGTGAAGGAGGTTAAGATGAGTACCACATGCAACATGCATGGTGGTAATGAGAAATATATATGAAATATTAGTCAGAAAACCTGAAGAGAGAGGCCACTTGTGAGTCATATATAGTGGCAGAATAATAGTAGAATAGATCTTATAGAAGTAGGATGTGAAGCTGTGGACTGGCTACATCAGGCTTAGAATAGGGTCCACTGATGGACTTTACTGGAAACAGTAACAAATTTTTGTGTTTTATAGAAGATGGGGAATTTCTTGACCAGATGAATAGTTATCAGCTTCTAAACAGTGACTCTGTTTCTTGAAGTTATTTACGAGTGCTTAGTTAATGAGCAGGATTCTAGAAATATGCTTATCCACAGACAGCTAATGGAGTGACAAGTAGATCTTAAAAAAAAAAAGTATCCTTGTAACAGGCCGTATATGCCCACAGGGTTGTGTAACCTTCAGTTTAAATTATAAATTTAATAAACGTTTCAGGTCAGGTTTAAGTTTATCTGTGAATTACTGTTTTGCCACTGATCTTGTCATATAAACAAGGTTAACTCAAGAGAACAGTAAAAGAGAAATTCAGATCATGAGTGAACATATCCTGCCTTAATGATTTACTTACAAGGTGGTTCAAATATGACCGGGACTGATTTGTGTGTAAACAAGCCGCACTGCACAGCAGCTGTGCAACCTTGAGAGAGTGAAGCCACAACCTCCACCCTTCCTCCTGTTTTGGTTAGAACCTGTTCAGTCCTGTCTGGGAGTTGCTAGAGTGATGAGCGAACAGAAGGTACCGTGGAGTGTGGAACAACGCATTGTGATCAAATACCTCGGAGAAAACATCCTGTCGGCTGAAATTCACCACAGACTCCAACAACAGTATGGGGAGAGTGTCTCTCACGGACCCGTGTGTTTGAGTGGTGTAAGTGCCTCAGAGAGGGCAGAGAGCGCATGGAGAATGAACCACATGATTGTCGGCTGTTAACGTCCATCACTGAGCCAAACATTGATCGTGCAGATGCGCTTATTCATGAGAATAGGCACATCACTATCAAGGAACTTGGAACAATGCTGTCCATCAGTGTTGGTAGTGTAGAAGACATCGTGAAATACCACCTGCACTATCGCAAGGTGAATGCACGGTGGGTACCACACACTTTGACGGAGATGAATAAAATGGTGTGCATGCTAGCTGGCAGTCGTCTCCTACAGCAGTTTGAAGACAAAGGTAATGCATTTTTGAAGTTTATAGTGACCACCGATGAAACATGGGTGCACTACTTCATTCCTGAGTCCCAGCAGTCATCAAGCGAGTGGCGGCATACCAGTTCTCCGAAACCCAAGAGAGCGCGGAGGAGCCTTTCAGCAGGAAAAGTGATGGCAATGTTCTTCTGGGACTGGCAGGGAATTATCCATGTAGGCTTTCTGACAGATGCCAGAACAGTCAATGCAGCTTATTACTCAGACCTCCTGACAACAGACGTGAAGGAAAAGATCCGATCCAAGCGGAAGAGAGGTGGAAAGCGGGTAGCCTTCCTTCAAGACAATGCATGCCCCCATATGGCCAAAACAACAATGGAAACCCTCCGGAAACTGAAATGGAACCTTCTGACACATCCGCCATACAGTCCCGATTTGGCCGCAAGTGATTTCTACCTGTTCGGAAGGCTCAAATCAGACTTGCAAGGCATGCGGTTTGTGGACAATGACGCCATCATCCAGACTGTTTGGGAGTGGATACGCCACCAACTACAAGCCTTTTTTGAAAAGGGCATCAGGATGCTTCCAGAACGTTGAAAAAAATGTGTTGACTCTGGAGGGGAGTACGTTGAAAACTGACATATGCAAGTAAGAGTTTGGCAATCATGTTTTTTAAAAAAAAATCAGTCCTGGTCATATCTGAACCACCTTGTGTAATACTATGACGTGACACCTAGACATAAGAATCTTGGAGTCAGAGAAATGTCACGGAGGTCTCCATCACTGGGCAACATCTAGCACCAATGTCACGGAGGTCTCCATCACTGGGCAACATCTAGCACCAATCACAGACAGACATGTGTCCACACCATGACCAAGTCCTATTGGCCACTTATGCACACAACAGTTGAGTAATAGTTGGACATGGTGTTTTCTCATCAATCCATAACAAAGCAATGTGCAGAGAGCCTGCTAGTTGGTGACAGAGTTCCTTAATTCCAAGGCCAAAACCTAGCAATGGGTCTGTGAGGGCAGAGCCAGTAAGGAACCTGACAAGAGTGACAGAAATCACAGTGTATATTTGTGAATTGTGTAGTTATAAATAAAAAGATTCAGTGTCCAAGTAAATCTTATTATCTATTTGAAACGTGTACAGTCCCTCAGGTGACAATTACATATGAATGACCCTTCTTTGCTTGATTTTATTTCAGACAAAGCAGTGAATAAGTTGTATTATTCAACCAAGAAAATGCGTAGGAGAGGGCAGCAGAAGCCTTTTTGCAGTTGTACTATTTCAGTGCATAATTTTAAAGCCCCTGTGTACAGATGCAGAAGACAAATTAACCTTTAACGTACGGACTTTTAAATTGCCAGCAGGCCTCTGCAGCCGGTATTTAAATCACCCTAATTAATTAACATTGCAAACTTTCAGAAAAAATACATATTTTCCTTTCTATGCAACATAGAAATACAAACTAAAAACAGCCTGAAAGACAATAAAATTTTCTACATATACACAAAAGAGTAATTTTTACAAATGAAAATTAACTGATTATTTTGTCATGAAGTCCAAAATATAATCATATGTTATGAAATTCCAAAGGACTTGCCCATTGTTTTTTCTTCAACCTTGAATCATGGTGATATTGTAAATATAATCACACTATATACAATAATATTTTGTTCAGACTGTACACGAGTTTGAACTGCGTCACTTCACAGTTTACAATACACTCTTGACGCGCAGTCAACCTCACAGAAAGCGGCATCACACTTTTTACAATAGAAGAGCGTGCTCCTGCTTTTCTTATTTAGTGAAACACACAGCGTCTTTGTTTCCCTTTGGTTGGCCAGTATTGTGAATGTTTCACCTCCAGTCGACTCAGTTGGGCCCCAGGTAACCTTGGCCTCCCCCGAGAAATGCCACTGACAATGATATTCGCCTTGTGATATTCAGCTTTGAGACTTGGTGATACTGTAAATATAATCACACTATATACAATAATATTACTGTATGCGAGTTTGAACTGGGTCACTTCACAGTCACTTCACTACGATACTCACACTGACGTGTGTGGCACTTCACGAAGCAGTCCACTTCACACAGAGCAAAATCACACTTTTTACAATAGAAGAGCGTGCTCCTGCTTTTCTTATTTAACGAAACAAATATTTGTTTCTCTTTGGTTGGCCAGTGTTGTGAATGTTTCACCTCCAGTCGACTCAGTTGGGCCCCAGATAACCTTGGCCCCCCCCCCCCCCGAGAAACGCCACTGACCATGATATTCACCTTGTGCGATTGAAGAATCATCTTGGGAGAAGGGGATTCTAGCAAAATCAAATAAATTATGTTGATTAACAAAGCAACACTCTCACCTATTAGTAATACTCGCAGAATAGTGATGCAAAGTAAATATAATACTAGTCAAAAAGGGTGCCAGTCTGACACTGATACCGAAAGTCGCAGTGACTAAGATGCCTTTTACTCACAAAGTAATACTGGCTCAGTGGGTTTATACCTCTTCCAAGATGCAACATAAAAATAATATACAAAGAAATATGTGACAGTCTGACTCTGACTTTGTAACTGATAAAGAAATATTAGACAATCCGACACTGACTTCCTGACTGATAATTCACCACTGAAAACCAATCCTTGAATGTGTCAGACTTCCTTGAAGGCTCTGGAAGCACTCACATGCAAGCACAGAAGAATATTTCCTCATCAGTTCTCGAAACAAAGCTGATCTATATTTGGCTGACCAGGTCATAAACAGTCATATCCAAACGTAAATAGTGTCAAAACCAGTACCTTGATAAACGATTTCATTGTTCAGAGCTCAGGAATGAACCACTGCATGACCTTACGAGCATTTGTTTTGGTTTCAAACGCAAGGTCAAACTGTCAGCACTCCCAAAGAGAGCACGTGTCCTGCGCATTTATATATATATAACATTTGGCCAACTTGGGGTGCTGTTTACTGCATATATATATAAAACATTCGGCAGTTAAAGTTTAAACAATGCATTTTGTTCTTGAACTTAACATTTAACACTGAGTTTCTTTTTAGTATCTCCTCTGTCAGTATATGTATGAGGCATAATGGATGGCTTTTCATGTTTCAGACTTAATAAAATTTCAAACTCTCATGCCCTAATGCTGTGCCTAATTCATGGGCACAGTTATACCACTGACTTCGCTTAATGGACTGTTGCAACAGTTGTATGGTTGCCAGTTTATACAGTATGCCATTTGGATGTGGTTATCAGCCCATACAATGAGTCATTTAAATAATTTCTAAGTCATACAGTGTTCATTTCAAATACATTTGCCAGGCCATGCTATGTGCTATTGAAAGGGGTTACATTACTGAAAATGAGGCATAATCTGATATTGTCTTTGCAGCATCTGTGGAAGCTTGCTGTGGAAGAAGCTGAACTGTTCCTGCAGTTGAAACTTATGAAAGATTTCTTCTTGCTGGGTCGAGGAGAGCTGTTTCTGGAATTTATACAGCAAGCTGATCATATTCTGCAGAATCCACGAATCAGCACATCTACTAAAGGTAAGAGCAGAGGATTAAATCCATTGCGGTTCATTGGGTACAGTTCATTCTACATTTCCACTTAGAGTGCATGTAAAGCTTCTTGTATTATTAAGGGAAGAACTGAGATGGGAGGTTTTGATAATATTGAGGAAAACATTTGGACCCAAGGAAGAGGACAGTAATGGGAGGATGAAGAACGCTGCATAATGAGGAGCTTCATACTTTATATTTTTTGCGCAGTATTGTTAGGGTGATCAAGTCAGTGAGGATGAGATCGGTACCATATGTAGCATGCATTGGGTAAATGAGAAATGCATGCAAAAGTATACTCCCAAAATTTGAAGGGAAGAAACAAGTAACAGACTTAACCATTGTAAATTGTATTTGTTACATATCACAGATTCTTGGGCAAAGCACTTGGTTATTGTTTCTGTCTTTCTGTACTTTCATTAAATTATTAACTTTGTTGTTTAGATCTTTGTAGTTTTTATCACGTTCTGTATTCAGGTTGTTATTATCATTATCCAACACTGAATTCAATCTCTTTTGTTAGTATTTTGCATTAATGAGATGTAGTTTGACTGACTGACCAAGAGACTGCTGCTTGTCAGCCAAATTTAGTAGATAGTGGGTTTCACATGGTCAGCGCAACGGATCCCCACAGCCGTTAATTTCAGTTTTCTAGACGAGAAATGCTGTTTCCTTGAAATAGCTCCTGAATTATCCTCATGAGGCTGAGTGGACCCCATTCCAGACCCACTACTTCTCAGGAAATCTGGTAGCACCAGGAATCGAACCCAGACCTCTAGTACTGTAGCCAGGAACTCTGACCACTAGATCACAGAGGTGGTCAGTATAGTTCGCTTGTGGAATAAAACCATGGAGTTTTTTTTTTAAAGTAATTTGTATAGTTGTTCCACTGAGTGTCTGCTTCCTTGTGTATTGAAACTTAATTTTGTCATTGATTGTGTACATAACAGCTTGTATAGGAAAAAGGAATTCTGACTTTTTATATTTCTCTACAATAATGAATGTTCAAAATTCATAAACAGCAGGAAGTATCTTGACAAATACAATGACTTTCTTAAGAAGTTCTGAAGTTGCTGTTGCTGTCATTAAATTATTTTGAAAGCTGCAGAATATCTATGAAAGTTAAAATGGTGTACTTGTGGGATGAGAGATAAAGTATATCTATATTTAAGGTCTGTGATAGAGTTGTCACTGTCATGCAGGTAATTTGAATATAGAAAATTGTGTTAACCTTTAAACACCAGACTTCTGAAATGGTGGTAAGCTTGAACTGGCTGCACTGCCGGTGCGTGTTTAAATGCCCGTTGCTACTCTGCGTTTAAATGTCCATTCCTGTTAGGGCGCTTAAACAATTTTAAGCATTGTGTTTAAAAATGCTGTATCTAACTCAATTTTTATGATAAATGGATGGAATTAACTTTGTTTGTACCACAAAGAACATAGTGTCACATATTATAATGGAAGATTTGAAAATTTTTATTCAAAGAGTTGTACTCTATTTTCAGTTTTTTCTTTTAATTTTGATGCGGACTGTAAAAATGGTTTCCAGTTCTTCACAGAGTTGTTCTGCATTATAAATTCATTTCTGTTTGTAATACTTGACAAATTTTAGCAGTCCCTGGTGTCATAAAACAGATGGAAGCAGTAAAATCATGTGGTCTTCTACTAGCACTGCTTACATTCTTAGGATTTTCGTATCTATTGACTAAAGGACAGAAAAATGAAAGAATGGCCATTTAAGAGAAAGCTAGGGGTTCCCTTCTTCAGTGCTAAAACCTTCCATTATAGCTGCAAGAGATTATTGCCCTTTCTATGGTCGTGAACAGACAGTTGCATCGTGGCTGAGATACAGAGTGTGATCTGTTTTCTGTGCGTTCATAGTGAAATCGAATACTGTAATTACATTTCAGCCTATATATGCATCAAGCAGATAACAACAAAAAAGGTATTTACATCAAATTTGACTATATATTTTTAACACATTAATCTGCAGAATCTGCAATAAAAGTACTGGCTCGTGAATGAGTTTGGGCATAACTCATACATGTATTCTTTTTTGCTGTTCACTTAGGTATCATTTTAATTCCTCTCTTATGGTTTTACTCAAGTCTCTCTGGTAATCACTGCACTTAAAAATAAATATTTAGGACTGTGCGTGTGCTTCCACTAGTGGAGTTTAAATTCCCCACTGGCCAAAACGGGGTACTTTGGCCACGATGACCATACTCATCACTGGCCCAAACAGGGCACTTCGGCACTTAAGATTAAATGCCAAGAAAATGGCAATAGGCAGTTTTAATGTCCATAATCTAAATAAGCTTACTTTGTACTGGCAGTTAATGATGTGGATTCACAGTCATTTTCATAGGCTAAACAGGATATCTGATGAATAACAGCTATAGCATATTGTTTACTTTTTCAGCTGTAAACCAGGCCTTCCATATGGCTGCTCGTAAAATACTTATAAATGATGACACAATAAACAAGTTTAGTTTCATGTTACCAGGAAAGAGCAGCTCTGATGTGGATGAAATTAAAGGTATGTATATGGCAGTTCCAACTGTTGATATGTAAGCTTGAAGACCATATTCTGTCATCCTTATGCTGAGACACCACATAGCTTAAAATGGTAAAAGGTGAAATTGTCCATGTGCTTAACCAATTAAGCACTATGCCATGAAGACGTATGGGGGAGTGGATGTACAGATCCACGTTTTCACGACTTTGGCAGTAGTTTTAAGTGAGTAGTCAGCTTCGTGCCCCAGCCACTTTGCTCCTGGGGAGATAGCACCCAGTGGCCATTGGTTACTAGGCTGGGAGGGCACCAGAAACTGTCTGGATGCCATTAGAAGTAGAAAAATCATACCCCCCTGGGACTTAGACTCCAGCCCCATGGTTGTCCAGTCTGTAGCCAGTTGGCATACTGACTGCGCTATCCCAGCTCCACAATGTAACTTAGGAAAACGAAACATTATAAATTGACCCAACTAACTACAGCAGACTCAAATATCTGCTTAGCAGGTTAACTGCATTATATTATACTGCAGCATCCTTTTGCACTGTGTATTCTAACTTTGTGTTCTCACCCCTTGCCATCTTTGTGCAACTTTGTCGATATATTCACACATCATGCTGCGTCAAAAGGATAAACCAACACATCAGCAAAAATGTAAGTAACATCATAAATGCAGAGACAGAATATACATAAAATATGAATCATATAAATAAATCAAAGATGTGTGAATATTAATATATCAATGAAGCTGCAAAACACTAACCCATTATATATTACAGATACACCAGACACGTGCATGACAGTGGCATAATAATCTAGTATAACCTAAAGTATTTTAGACATGTTTACATCAAAATGGAAAGAAGAACAGCATAATTACAAAGCAAGAAGTTCCTTTGATCTGACATATTATACATCTGATGATGGCCAGTTAGGCCAAACATGTAGTGTTGTATAATAAAGAGACGAACACATGTGAATATTAATATATCGTCAAAGTTGCACAAAGACATCGAGGAGTGAAAACACAGAGTTAGAATAACGGCAGTGTTTTTAGAATCATGTATTTTGGTATGAGTCTTTTCTTCAAACAAGTTTTGTTAAAAAATTTATATTAGCCTTCCAATGTAACAGTTTTCGCTGCTGGAACAAACTATCTGGAATACACGTATCAGATAGCTTTAAACAAGTGGACGACGCCCTTTACAAGATGGAATAGGAAGTTACAAAAGATTTTTAATTGAAAAATTTTAATGAATTTCAAGTAATTATTTATGTTATTTTAAGTGGACTACAATGCGCATAGCGCGCATCAAAGCAGTGTAACAGTTTGGATGCATTGAAACACCTGAGGATGGCCATCTATGGCCGAAACATGTGGTGTTAGTGTTAAATGGTGAATATTTTAATGATTGTTGCATTATTGACAGACTTAATATATAGACGTTTAATTCAAGATGAGGAACAGGATGCTGAAATACAGAATTACAGTACCGCTATTGAAGTGAAAAATGTCTTCTAGGAGGATCTGTAATAAAGTGTTCACAGAATATTATATTGTATTACTTTTATTCAGGGAGTAGCATGGAGATGTTACTGTTTAAGGTCAGTCAGGAAATCAGGTATTCCAAGCTGCTGAGTTGTTTCTGTGTGCCTTCACAATATACTTCAAATGTCAACAGTGAATAAAGAGAATAACAGTACTTCCACTCTCTCTTAAGCGACTGTTTCTTCTGTTAACAGGGAGCTGCTGGCACTTGCTGACACTTACATACAAGGTCAGCTGGCCCCTACATCTCCTCTTCGATAGTGTAGCACTAGACAACTACAATAGGCTGTTTTGCTTTCTTCTGTGTGTTAAGAAAACTCAGCTTAATCTTCACAATATCTGGAGGAGCCACATGCAGAGCAGGACACCATGGTAAATATGCTGCATATACTGAGATTATTTTTGGGTATGGTAGGATGTATTTATAAACCAGGGACCAGCAATTCCTTAGGACTACTATGTATTTTATAGTCCATCTGTTACAACAACTGAGTTATAAATAAACAACTGAAGGCACAAATTTCAGATGGGATGGAGGTGGCATCGCACCAGCAGGAGACTATACATTTTTCTATGGAAAGGGGAATGAAAATCATGAATTAGGTACAGGTTTTTTCGTACATAAGAGAATCGTATCAGCAGTTAAGAGGGTAGAATTCATTAGTGATAGGATATCATATATAATATTAAAAGGTCACTGGTGTGATATCATTGTTATGACTGTTCACACCCCAACAGAAGATAAAATTGATGACATAAAGGATAGATTCTATGATGAACTAGAACATGTATTTCATAAATTCCCAAAGTACCCTATGAAAATTTTGTTAGGAGATTTCAATGCCAAAGTAGAGAAGGAAGACATTTTCAAACCAACAATTGGGAATGAGAGTTTGCATGAAATTAGTAATGATAATGGAGTTAGAGTAGTAAACTTTGCCACATAAAAAAATCTTACTGTCAAAAGTACAATGTTCCCACATCGTAACATCCATAAATTTAATTGGACATCTCCTGATGGGAAGATACACGTTCAAATAGACCATATTTTGATAGATAGGAGATGGCACTCAAGTATACTTGATGTCCGATCATTGAGGCCGGCAGATTGTGATACTGACCACTACCTGGTGGCGGCAAAGGTTAGGGAAAGACTGGCAGTGAGCAAACAAACAGCACACAGCGTTCATATGGAGAGGTTCAATCTCAAGAAATTAAATGAGGTAGAGGGTAAAGAGCATTATTGTGTTGTTATCTCAAATAGGTTTGCGGCTTTGGAAAACTTGGAAAACTCCACGAGTAAGTAAGGCACAAATTTATCGATGAAATAATACACTCTACATGTTTCGGTCAATTGTGACCATTATCAGGCATTTAAAATATTAAAATGTGTGTCAGCTTACATTATTGGACTGCTTGTTTACAATGGATCCATTGCAGATAGTCCCATTTTGCATAACATTTTTCAAGATTACAATATTGTAAGAAATATTGGATTGATTACTAAATTAGGTAAGTCTATAATTAATTTTATTATTATAGTTTTTAGTTAAAATTAGCAATTAAAACTTAAACATAGCCTACTGTGTATAGGGTTTTTATAGTGGAATAGGGAGGATGGGGTAGGGAGGTGGTATGTGTTTAATACTACCTTGTTAGGGTGTGTGGGAGTTTTGTATCCATATATGTATATATCTTATTGGGGTGTGGGAAAGCAGGATGCTTTGAATTTCCAGTATATATTAGTTCTGATGGCTTCGTGCTGACTTATTTTGGTGGTACATCTGAAAAATTAAGAATATATATATTGTGAGGATGTAGTTTTTGTGTATGCTTTTGGTAGTCACAACTTCTTGTATATACTTGTGTATTTGACACTTTGTTGCTATTTTGTTGGCTTATATTGAAATGCTTTGCATGAGTTTTTGATTGAAGTTGCTGTTTCCTGGTTTTGTATTTAACTTATGGGTTATTTTGTTTTGTTATGCGTTTGTCATGAATGGGGGAGAAGAGGAATGCATGTAAGATTCGGTGACAATTCCGCTTAATTACAATTAACACAGCGCTATCACTGTTTTACACAATTCATGGCTTACCATTGTGCACGCACTAGAATTCTCCGTCTTCACTATTCATCTCCTGACAACGTATTTCAATGCAGAAACTGACACTTCAAAACAATATGAAGTCTTCTTACCATTTCTTGTTCAGTCACCCTAGAACCTCAGAATGCAACTAAAACTCTCAAGCTCTTCTTAGCTGCAAGCAGAGTCATGTCACATAGCTGCAGAATGGACAACGCAGAAAACACGATTCTACTGTTGCATAGTGCCAACCACACAGAAAACACAAGTCACATGATAGCTAAACACTGTTGGGTTGTGATGTCGTCGCACCTGCACAGAAGTGTGTTTACTGAGCCATTGCCTAGAAGCGGGTTGCATAGTCCTGTTGTTCTATTGTTGCGTGTACATATCGCGGGTTATTCGTGGAGCCGTTGCCTGGCAGTGCATTGACATGTCACAGTATAAATTTGGTTGACTTGTCTGCCTTTGCAGTGTATACGAGAGTGAACGAGCTGTCTGGCATCTGCGGAATAGGTTGATGTTCCTGGTCGACAATTTGCAGTATTACCTTCAGGTTGATGTTTTGGAAAGTCAGTACATGCTGCTTCAGTCTGCAGTTCAAGCAACGAAAGATTTTGAGAAAATACAGAAAGCACACACTCTTTTTCAAGCAAATATATTAAGTCAAACATTTCTTCTTGCTGAGACGGTAAGTAAGGTGTTCTTTCGTGTCAGTAATTAGTAACAGTTCTTAGCTCTCATGTATATTCATTTTGCATTCTGTAGAACTTAGGACTGAATGTTGAAGCTAGTTGGCAAGATTTCTTTCAGTTAAATTCCTGGAAGAATTAACCTTCTGAACTAACTAAGGGGGAATGTGTTAAGTAATGATTTCTTGATGCGAAGTCAGTGATGGTAAAAGCTGAGTAGTACTGTTACTGCAGAGAATTTTATGAATCGGTTACTGTGGTGTATCTTCCCACATTACATCTTTATGCAGTGGATGCATATTTTAACAAAAAAATTGGATGTGACTTGATAATCTTTACTTTTTAAATAAATAGTAACTAATTCTACTCTGTCTGCAAGTAACATTTTTCGCCACAGATTCATCCTCAGGAAAAGGATAAAATGTAATTTACATATGGAAACCTGAAATGTGGATGAAAACCTGTGTTGGAAGATCCCATAGGAATTAAGCTACTAAAACAGTAAAATCATATGCATGATGTTGTGGCAAAACATTCAAAAACAAGTAAAGAAAATAAAAAGAAAGAAATAGCAGAAACAGACCCCTTGCTTCTGCTGGTTCCTTGCTTGACTTACTCTTTGACCCTAAAGTAAAGCTGGAGGTAATATGTTCTCTAAAAGTGGGGCTCTTCAAATTACATGAAGTTACAGCCCAGAAGACCACACTTTTCATACTCACCAGCACGAGAATACCAAATCCAACAAAAGGAACATCTGATGGACATATGAATGTTTATATCAACACCATTATTAATTTATTCATTTATATGATAAACTGGTTTAGTTAATTTATGTTTGAAAACACATCCCTCCTCTGCTTCAGAATGATATTCTAGGCATTATTGAAGGAGAGCCATATGAGGTATGATGTTCATAATCTTCAACTTGAATTATATGAAGGTTATGTGGAAAGTAATGATACAGAGTCCAGAAAATATTTGTAAAGGATGTTATTCACTTGGTGCACTTTTACAGCACACCTCTATTTACTTTTCAACACAGGCACCTTGGATCGGAATTCACATCGTGAGCCTGGAAACGAATCCTCTCCCAGAAGATGGTTGCCATGATTTTTCAGTTTGACGGCGAGGTTTTGAATTTTTTCACAGTTGATGAGTGCGTATTTCGCCATTGCATTGATTGTCACTTATTCTCAGGTGTATGATGAAATACCCAAGTTTCATCTCCCATCACAGTACAGTCCAGAAAGTCATCACCTTTGTCCTCATAACACGTGAGGAATGCCTGCGTCACAGCCATTTGATTTTTCTTGTGATCATCTGTCAACATTTTTGGCACCCAACACATGCACAGTTTCTAATAGCCTAATCTTTTTGTAACAGTTTGATGGAGAACAGTTCTTGACACTTCTGGGCATTGTTAATGAAGTTCATCGATGGTTAAACGTCTCTCAGCACGAATGTTTTCATCAGTTTTTTGGATGATTTTATCAGCGACAATGGATGGCCTGCCACTCCTTATTGCATCATGAACATCACTTCTTCCTGCTTCAAATTCACGACACCATTTTGCCACTTTTTATCTGTTCATAACATCTTCACCATAAACAAACAAGTTGGCGAAGAATTTCAGCACCAGTTTCTCCTTTTGTGTAAAGAAATTTAATTACTGCACGAACCTCACATTTGGCAGAATTTTGAATCTACACGGCCATTTTAAACACACACTGCAAGTACAACGTTGCCGTGACTGTTGCCAGTGAACTCTGCCCTGTCTTGCATTTTTACTGGACTTGTATCTTTACTTTCCGAATATCCCTTGTATAAAGTCAGTCCACAGATCAGAACCTTGTTGGATGTGCAGAGAAATACAGACAAAACCTCGTAAGGCTAATCTTTACTTCAAGATCAGCAAAAGTAGTCAAGCTCTTCTTATAATTAGGAGCAATTATTATGTGATGTGTTATGCCCTTCTATAGTTTCTAGGTGTCTTAGTAGATCCAAATCAATTCCCATGTGAAATGATGCAGCTTTGTTTTTTTTCTTTTTAGATATCTAGTGGATCTGAAATGAAGTCTAATCCAGTGCAGTCAGTTCTGGCTAAAGTTCTTGATCTGTGTGACCGATTTTGCACCAGCATTTGCTCATGGGGAAGTGATTTAAATGAATCTCAGCTTCTTGAACTACATAATATGGCGCAAGAGTATGAGGGTCTAGTGATGTATCTCTTGCAGCTGCTGTCAGGCTTGAGCTTACATCCATGTGGTTCTCATCTATCCCAGCTACTGCTCAGACTGGATTTTAATCGATGGTTCAGCAAAGAGCATAATGACACATCATCATATGTAGTTGAGAACTCAGTCTAACATACTCACTTTATAAAAAGAATCTTGAAATGAGAATTTTTACAGTGTTTTTCATATACAGGGTGTTTCACGTCTTTAGGGCATAACTGCAGGAGGTGATTACCTAGGTATTTGTGATCAAAAAAGTTCATACAAACATGTGTCTGATTTTGGACAGTTACGGAGTTATGACCGTTTTTTCATTCCCGTACACGCCCTTGTGTGAACTGCGTCTATCATCTGGCGGGTCACTATTTTTAGCCAGCTACAGACAGCGTTCTCATTATCTCGACACTTGAGAGGTGCCTAAGGTGTGGTGGGTTGGTATGTTTGGCCACGGCTAGTGTGGCAGCTACTGGTGTTCAGAACAGTTCTCATCTCGGTGTGTCTGTTACGTTCACGATGCCATTTACATTTTCATTTGAGGAGTATGCAGATATGATTTATGTGTACAGGTTTTGTGACAGTAACTCAATTGTTTCCATAACTGGATATCAGCAACGGTTTCTGAATCGTAGAATACCGAACCGGAGAGTGTTTACTGGAGTTTACCAGGCATTGCGAGATACCGGTAGACTTCCCGGTGTTCACATTGCAGCCGAGCATGGTGTTAATGAAGGTGTCAATGAAGAAGGCATTGTTCATATGGTACACCGCAGTCCAATACGAGTACGGGAAGAATTGCCAGCCAGGTCTCCAGACTTAAGCCCACTGGATTATTGTGTGTGGGGATGGATGAAAGAACTGGTTTACAATGTGAAGGTGGCAACGCGAGATGCTTTGCTCGGTCGCATTCTGGACGTCGCTGACCACATAAGAAACAGCCAGCTGAAGCTGCTACGTGCTACCCGCGCGGTTCACAACCCAGCGGCAGCCTGTGTTACGGCCGGCGGTGGCATTTTCAAAAATCAGCTTTAAGCACCAATCAATTCAAATTAAAGGTAATTTCACTAAGTTAACTTTACATTCATACTTTAAATGTATTATGTATTATGCTGGTTTATTATTTCGTTCCGTTTATTGTCAGTAATCATTACCTTCTATTCTGAGTTTAAAACAGTCATAACTCCATAACCGTCCAAAATCGGACACATGTTTATATGAACTCTTTTGATCACATAGACCTAGGAAATCACCTCCTACGGTTATGCCCTAAAGTCATGAAACATCCTGTATATAATTAGTGTGTGACTTGGTGTAATATTGTTTGGGACTCATAACTGTGTACATGGTTGCATTATTCATGGAAAAGAAATGGAGAGATTTACAGTCTCTGCCTGCCTGCCTGCCTACCATCTTCTCCAGCAAGACTTTTGAGCCAAGATTTGAACAGAGTACCTCCCAAATGAGTCAGAGCATTACCAGTATGCCACCTGCTTAAATTAAGACTCGTTATTGACAGTAATGAAGTTTAATTTATACACAAAGTGGTTAAATAAAATTGAAGCTCTCTTTTATAGACAGTTACTGCAGTGGTACTTGAAACCTATGGGCTCATTCCATGTCAAATCAACATGGTCAAAATTTTGTAAGCCTACTACTTCATCTGATGAATAAGTAATAAATGTGAAGTTTTAATTTTGTGTAACTTTTCCCTGCACTCCAATCCACTAAAATGCTTACAACTAACCTTAATTAACATAGAGAGCTGATTATTATACCAGCTGAAAGCTCTTAACACTTCGCGGACCGGTGATTTAAATATTTAAATCACCCTGGGGACCTGCATTTTTAAACATACTACCCTAACTTGTGCACTGTTCACTTTAAAAATTAATATAAAATCTCCTAATTAATTTTTTGAACTAGAATTTTTGGAGAACACTTACCAATGCTCCTAGAAGTGCTTGAGGGTGTGATATTTTCTGGAAACTTTCCCCCTTTGTGAAGTGGCATTACACAGAACTTGCAAATGTAGACATACTCCTTTTTTGTGAACTGTGCAAACACGGCATTGCCTAGAAGTATTCTTCCCCTTGGAATGTTCACTCTTCACAATTTTCACGAGTGTATTTTTCTGCATATTACTCAAGAGTCGCCCTGGGGGGTCCACATGAGGCCTTCGTGGGGTGGGAGTTGATGGGCCCGGTCGTACTAAGTCTTTGTGTGACCCTGGTTCTGCCGCCACCATCTGGACTGTAGCCCAGACCTTTGCCACATTCATCAGAAATGCTTTGTATTTCAATTTTCAATCAGGGTTTAGATTTTTTTTTTAGATTTTTTGCTGTCCCTGCATTGTTTCTATGCGCAATGTTATTACCCGCATTATCATCAGAGCTACTGTCTGTGGCCACAATTCTTTGTTGTCCCCTGTCACTGTCGCTGTCTGAATGACAATTAATTACTACGCGTCTCACAAGGCAGGTCAGCTAGGTCATTGGAGGAGAATTTGTCCTTGATCCATTCTCCCCACTAGCTACTGGCTGATACACACAGCTTGAAGAAGGCAAAGCATTTTCCTTTATAGTCAGTTAAGTAAACAGCGAGGTCAAGTTACTGACTGCTAACTAACATTCCAGAGTCTTATCACGCATATGCAGAGGGTTGTGGGCAATGTAGGTGGCGCCAGAGCGATGTATAGTGTGTTGCAACTTATCATGTTTCAAAAGCCTGTTAACATGTGAATGGTCCACCATGTTTAAAAGCGAAAAACCTTTTAAAGTGTGTGCGGTCCGCAAAGTGTTATGAGAGGGTTTCATTCCTTATGCCAACCACATATTTTAGGGTGAATCTGCATGTTGCCCTTTGTCTTTGATGTTAGTCTATTGTATTGAGTACAGCTATTCTTCCTTACACTTCAAAGCTTTGAACAGTAGTATGTTGTGGTAATCTACAATATGATAATACATAGCTTTATGTCTTTTAAATTAAACTGTTCAGCATTCATTTATGCAATGCAGGTTTAGTACAGGTGGAAAACATGAAAGACACGAAGAGATCAGTACNGGCAGTAGGCATTCCTATAACATGTACTAATATTAAAATCTACAAGTTAATTATTCTTGAAATATATGTTTATAAGTGATGAGAACTAGGATTTATCTCCAAACAAGAGAAACTCGTCTATACTATAGAAACAATGATCAAGTAAGAATGTTTTCAAAGTCTTCTTAAACCTGTATAGTACTGGTATTTCTTTAATATATTGTGGCAACTGATTTAACATACGAAGTCCAATATTATTGAAATTGTTTTTGTATAGCCTCGTATTACATGGCACTATGAACAAGTCATCTTTTCTCCTTGTATTGTGCGAGTGTATTCCTGAATTGGTTATGAAAACATTCAGATTGGTTCTTATGTAAACTAGAATTTCATATACGTAGGTCATTTCAGAAATAATGCACACAATTTTTTGTTTACGTCCATGTTTATTTTTTTAGTATCTCTCTACAGTCCTTCAGAATAGTCCCCCTGCTTCTCAATGACCAAGTCCCAATGTGTGGGAAGCTTTACTATTCCATCCAGGACACCATCTTTGTTTATCTGTCGAATGGCTTGGGTACTTCAGCAGAAAGCTCTTCCATAGGGGGAAAACAACGGCCTCGCATAGGTTGTTTCAACTTTGGGAATAAGTTGAAGTCTGGTGGACTCATGTCCGGGCTGTAAGGAGCATGAGGCAACACCTCCAAACTGTATTGGCACAGCTTTTCTGTTATGACATTCCCAATGTGCAGGTGAGCATTGTCATGGAGGATGATCGGCCCAGCCTCAAGCAACTAAGGTCGGTTTTTGTGCATTTTTCTGTGCAGATTTTGCATAAAGTCACGATAATAAACTACTGTGACACTTTTCCCGCACAGAACTCTGTCTGTCATGATGATGAAGCAAAGATCATTTGTTTGACCTTTGATTGAGATAGTCAAAATTTTTTTGGTTATGGGGAAGATGGACCTCTCCACTCGTTGGACTGTGATTTCAGCTCCGCCACAAACTTCACTTAAAGCACTGTGGATTTCTGTCAGGTTTTTTCCATGTAAAGTTTCGATCTTAATGTACAACCTTAGATCTTCAACAGTCACAATACCCGAGAACCATGCAGGCTCCATTTCTAACTCACGTTATTTAAGAACAGAGTACATTATAAATGAAACAAAATAACACGCTTCTTTCTCAAACCCTGAACTGTAACTGACGTGAGGCTCACTGTTGTTGCATCATCTAATCCGCAGTGTTGCTAACCTGTGCATTATTTATGAAATGACCCACGTATATATGGACATGGTGAAGGTAATATATGTAACTATTTAAAATATTGTTTACAATTAATAGTTTTCGGGATTTGTATCATAGCTCTGATAGCTCTCTTCTGCAACCTAAAGATCAATTTTGTATTTCCTGAATTGCCCCAAAATGTCAGTCCATATAATAACAGGGATTGAAAGTAAGCATAATAATGCATAAGGTGTGAACAGTCTCTAACCCTGATACTCTTTTGAATACTCATAAGGCAAAGCATATTTTATATAATTTATTTGCTAGTTGTTGAGTATGTGCAGACCACCTTAGATTCTTATCCAGCCAAACTCCCAAAAATTTTGTACACTGTGACCTTTAATGATCTATTGAGTTTCCCCTTTTTTGGTTAATCATTTATCTCTCCTGCACTTTGAAAGAAATCAAGGACTTTGTTTATGGGGGCATCATAATAGTTACATGGGTCCGTAAGAAACTGGCGCAGATGATGAAATCTTTAATAAGCTATAGCCTCACAATCACATAGGAAGTGTGTGGCTGATTCATCTTTTTCTGGGCTTCATTCACAAGTAGGGTCATATGCCAGTCCCAGTTTGAAAAAGTGGTAATGTCCTGTAAATAGTTCTATCACCCATCATAATTTGTCTGTGTTTAATTTTAAGAAATCCTTCAGTCATGTGGCAGAGGGCGCTAGTATAAATCACTTTGCCTGTTTGAGTCCAGTTATGGATTCCTGGTGTTGTTTTGTGATTTGTTTTCATCCAGTCCCTGACGGCTTTCTTGGCAATTCCAGTTGCAATGCCACAATCTAGTTCAGGTCCAATGAAACAGATGTTCAGATCCCGTTCTTGCCAGCTGATCTGCCTTTTCATTATCAACAGTACCCTCATGACCTGGTACCCATATCAGTTGAACTCTGTTATGTTTGATCAGTTGTTTGAGTATTGATGGCAGTCCCAGATCAGTTTTGAGGTGATCTGGTATTTGCTAAGTGCTTTCATTGTAGCTTGACTGACTGATAGAATGTAGATGTTTCTGTTTATATAGTTCCTATATAGATTCTCAACTGTGTATGCTATATGGCATACACTTCTGCCTGGAATTTCTGTCAGGCTGAAACCCCTCCTTCCATTCACTTGTATCAGGGAATCTGATAGTGAAGGGTCTATCATAGAAATGTCTCAGTATCACTTTATCAGACATCATCTGTAAAATGGGTTCTTTTTTTCACGTCCTTAGTCATACAAGGAGCAGCTATAAAATAACTAGACTGATTTTTTTGCAGAGTCCCTGTCGCCTTGGCATATAGCTGGTCCTCTCCCCTCCATCAACCCTACCACTTCCAAGGCCATACAGCCAACAGTGTGGTAGCAGCCTTTGTTTGAAGTGGACCATGTATCTGAGCTCTGTTGTCATTATGTTAATTATTAAAGTAGAGCAACATGTCAGTGTGAAATTCCTCGGGAGGAGAAGGGTATCCCATATGACCAATGGGAGTGCGACACTAGCTAACGATTCAGTTGCGACAGGGAAGACCGCAATAAAGGATCGCCTTTTGGGATGGCAAACCACCCCTTCACACGGGTTGGTTAAACCATTTTTGAGTGTTGAGGCCGAAGGCTTGCGTCACATTAACGGTACTCAATGGGGACAACTCCAGTAGCAGAAGCTACCCACATGCAAGTGCTCTCTCACGTTCATCCCGGACAAACCGTAGTAATAGCCGAGTCATAATGCCACTGTGTGGGAGGCTCCGGTTGTAAGACACCATTGCCTTTTATGGTAGCTTAGCTGCCAGTCCAGGGTTATCATTCTAATCCAGACCCTGAGAGTGACGCCCAGCGGGTCTAAGAGGTGGTGTCCCGACGCACCCTCCTTGTCCATAATGCTCCCCCACCCGAGACAGCCGCAATTCGGCCAGTCTCATTGATGACATCATTACTACATCATACATAGTTACTCCCGCCAATTGATACGTGCCCAAGAAAATAAATTCCTTAGCCGTGTTTAATTGTTTCAAATGCTGTTATAGCAAATGTTGGTTTGAGGTGGTCGTGATGAAGTAGGATGTTGATCGTACTGCACTCTGGTGGTTACAGAAGACGGTTAGCATTGCAGGTATTCCGTGACAACTTTTCAGTAATGATGATGGAAAATTTAGTCATCCGTGGTTAGGAGCTACTGCTCGGGAGCCTCGGGCGGGTGTTGAATGAGGGCGTTACGGGCGTTACAATGTTACAATACAAGTAATTAAATACGCCGCGAAGAATCGGAGCGCCACCTCGTGGGACGTGTCAGACGTGTCAGTTGTCTTATAGCTGAGAAGGCTGAGAAGATAAAGGGGTGACAACGCAGTAAGTAATTTGGGGCGAGGTGTTCGAATAATTGTCTACTTCGAATGAACGAGTTTTGTAGACCTCGTTAAAATAAAGAAATATGTCATCTACAGAAGAAACTGAACTGAAAGGTGGTCATCCACCTGCAGGTAGATATTAATTTTGCATTATAATAGGAACATGGTTGAAATGAATTGTGATTGTGTAACATCTGCTTCTCATTTATGTTTTATGGATGGCCCATTTATAATGTACATTTTCACCAGTGAAAGCGGGTGGAATGAGGATAACTCAGCATAAGAGCCCAAAAGACGACAAAGAAGGTAAAGTCACCAAAGAAAAGGAACAAGTAGAGGAAGGTACCACCACGCTAAAGTTATCCACAAGGTATGTTCGTTTGTTGCTTAGGCGAGGCCCAGTATATTCAATTTAAATTATTACTGTGAGTACCGAGTTTGATTTGATTAACATAAAAAAATGGATTGTAGTATTTATTTTATTCCGTCACCACAATAGGTGGTCTAGACACACATTGCATTCGTCGTTTCAACATGTTTTGGATCATCAGTCTATCAGGTATTTGACTTCTTTTACATTCAGTTGTATTTGTATATGAAATTGGGGAGTGGCCCAAGGACTTTACAGAAGTGACAATGATTGCCTTAAAGAAAAAGACAAAAGCTACAAAATGCAGCGACCATTGCACAGTAAGCCTTATGGCACATACAGCAAAGATAATAGCAAAGATACTTAAAAGAAGAATTGAAAGGAAAATATAGGATATACTTGGAGAGGATCAGTTTGGATTTAGAAGAGGAAAAGGAACCAGGGATGCAATTGGGATGATGAGAATTATAGCAGAACGAACTTTGGAGATAGATGAAGAACTGTGTGCTTGCTTTATAGACTGGCAGAAGGCATTTGACTGTGTAAATTTGACCAAATTAATGCAGATCCTAAAGGAAACAGGTATCGATTGGTGTGAAAGAAGATTGATTAGTAAATTGTACCTGGATCAGAAAGTTAAAGTGCAAGTGGACNCATGGAAATGAATGTGGAAAAAACAAAAGTAATGAAAATTTCGAGACAACCAACCCCAGTCACATTAAAGATAGACCAAAAACAACTGGAGAATGTGAAATGTTTTAAATATTTGGGTAGCTTGTTAACAGATGATGGAAGGTGTATCTAGGATTGCCATGGCAAAAGCTGCATTTAGCAAGAAGAAGAATCTTTTTACCAGCAAATTGGACTTAAATTTGAGAAAGAAACTAGTGAAATGCTACATTTGGAGCATTGCTTTGTATGGTGTTGAAACTTGGACACTTAGGGCAGTAGATCAGAAACACCTGGAAAGCTTGGAAATGTGGTGTTGGAGAAGGATGGAGAAGATCAGTTGGACCGATTATGTGAGAAATGAAGAAGTGTTGTTTAGAGTCAGTGAGCAGAGGAATATCCTACATGAAATGAGAAAACGGAAGGCTAATTGGATTGGTCATATCTTATGCGGTAACTACCTTCTAAAAGAAGTTATTGAAGGAAAGATAGAGGGGCAGATAGAAGTGACAAGAAGATGTAAGAAGATGCTGGATGACCTTGGGACAGAAGAGGATATTCTCATTTGAAGGAGAAAGCTCTAGATCGCATCAAGTGGAGGAACTGTTTTGGAAGAGACTGTGGACCTGTCATCTTGACAGATTACTGATGAATGAATGAATGAAAGAATGAATGAATGTGTCATCTGCTATTATACCTATATTGGCCAGTGTTTACATATTGGGATACAAATTTTTTAGTGATAAGCAGTGCCATTGTATATAAAATTTGTGTTTGCCACTAAGATTATGTATTAATCGTTACAATATTAAATCATTAAAATTAAATGTATATAAGGGGTTATCTTATGTTTTGTGTTCACTTTACAGACAGGAAGAACCCCAAAGAAATACATAGGTAGAGAAACCCATAGTACAACTGCCACATCCAGGCAGAACATAATAAAACCTTTTGTATTTAATTTTAACAATTAATATTTAATCATAGAGGTGAACACAGCTTTTTATACAGTGGCATTACATACTGCTATAAAACCAGTATGCCAATATGTAAACACTGGCCAGCGTAGGAATACTAGCGAAGGAATATGGGTGGGTGTAAAAAACCAAATGTATGGTCTGTTCATAGTACCTATTTTAGTGATGGAATAAAATAAAGAAATTTCACTGAAAGTATTGTGCTGAGATTATAAATGATTCTGGTATGTTAAAAAACCCCACTGATTATATTTTTTGATAGAGCAACTGATGATACACTGACTAGCTGAGCAACCTTTTCTAAACTTACTGCAGACCATCTGCTGCTGTTGATAGACATATTGGGGAAACAGTTTTGAGACAACTGATAATGAGTGTAGAAATTTGAAACAGCAAGGATACCATGAAGTGGTAATATGTCTGATTTGTGTTTAGGTATATATAGTTTGAATATCAATGGGGCAGTGTACCCTGTTTGTCTCGTGTATTGTGTGCTCTTATGGTGGAGAGCAGTGGATCAGTGTTGTGATGGGAGGAAGTAATGACAGTAGTAACTACCTTGCCAGATTCATGTATCCTGAAGGCCCATCACCAAGCTTCCACTGGTCACAGAAGGATGACATTCGTTGGGTTAAAATAGAAGGCATATTGAAAGTAATGAAAAAAGTTGAAAATTCCCAGTGTTCCTCAATTAATTATCACACTGCAAGGATCAAACCTGTTGCGGATCTTCTCCAGTGAAATGCACAGTAATCCTGAATAAGTGGTACTTCATTTTGTTTGTATTTTATTAGAATTCTTTTATACAAGTATGTTTTAGGTTTTGTAGCAGTAAGTGAGAAATGTCATTCCTCTCTATTATGGTAGGATTTAATGACATTTTCCTCAAGCTTTTTATTGTTTAAAATGACAGAAAGCCCCAGATGTCACCAATCTCTGAAACTGATTAAAAATTTCTGCTACCTTTTGTACATCAATGGAAGCAGTGAAAGCAAGTAGGATCATAAATTCTTCTGTCAGTTACTGTTTTTGTGTATATGTGCACAAGAACTGTGTCATTTAGTAACATGTATACATTAATTTCTTCTGATTTTTATGCTCAAGTATGATGAAAAGCATTTCCCCAGGGATGAGATTTGGTCACCATTATTACCTTTAGTACAGGAAGCAGTTCATAGATGCTGTATGCTTACATAAAATTGACTGCAGACTATGAAATATTACCCTGCTGGTGAATTTCAGAATGGTATTTTGATGTTAACTAGTATATATTTTTTTCTTGAGATGTCATGCCTTTTTTTTTTTCATTTCCGTCATTACATATCATTGCTCTTACTTTGCCAAAAGACATATGTATGGATGTATTCATTACCTGTTGCACTGGTGTCACCCATTGAAGTGTTGAGTACTTATGCTGACTTTAATTGTTTCTTGCATCCTGTTGTGTATTTAATCAATATTAGAGTCAATTTTACCGACCACACAACATATTTTTATTATTATTACACTACATGTTTCGACCTCAAGAGGTCATCCTCAGGTGTACGAACACAGCTGTATAATTACACGCAATCACATTCGTCTTCTCACTCATTCGATCCTGTATCTTATTCAGGCTCACGCTCAATAATATATCAAGCTCTCTCTTAAAACACAAGTTAAAATTATTCTAAAAGTCAAAAGTTAAAATTTAAAATTAAAATTGTTTAAAAAGTTTAAAGTTTGTGAATCGAATTTCAATTCAGGTCACTTGTTATGCTTTCACTTTCACTTGTATTCAGACACTTCCTACTTACGTTCATCACTGTGTCAAGTTCACTTTAACTGGTTTAATTATATTATTGATTAAACGTTCATGAATTAAAGTTCAATTTTATTATAGATTGCACTTTTTCATCATGACATGGACTGTAACAGATCCACAACTTCAGAAGATGCAGTAGAACAGCAAGACCTCCAAAAAGTGAAAAAGTGCAATCTATAATAAAATTGAACTTTAATTCATGAACGTTTAATCAATAATATAATTAAACTAGTTAAAGTGAACTTGACGCAGTGACGAACGTAAGTGGGAAGTGTCTGAATACAAGTGAAAGTGAAAGCATAACAAGTGACCTGAATTGAAATTCGATTCACAAACTTTAAACTTTTTAAACAATTTTAATTTTAAATTTTAACTTTTGACATTTAGAATAATTTTAACTTGTGTTTTAAGAGAGAGCTTGATATATTATTGAGCGTGAGCCTGAATAAGATACAGGATCGAATGAGTGAGAAGACGAATGTGATTGCGTGTAATTATACAGCTGTGTTCGTACACCTGAGGATGACCTCTTGAGGTCGAAACATGTAGTGTAATAATAATAAAAATATGTTGTGTGGTCGGTAAAATTGACTCTAATATTGACCTATGCTGAAGGTTACAGTATGTTATAAAAGTGTGTGATGACAGTAGTCATTGTAGTTGTGGTGCCAAAGGTAGGGAACTATTTGTGTAATCTTTTGCATTTTGCTGTGGAGCCAAATATGTGGTGAGACATTAAGTGTGAATATAGTAATTGAGGGTTATTTCTTCTTTTAAGTTTTAGGTACCCTATATTGTGATATGACAAGCGAAGCAAGTATACCCTGGGCCAAGAACAGGTCCTGCTACTTTGTTCTAAGATACTTGATAAAATAGCACTATGCACTCTCCTGAAATTCTTGACACCTTTCTGTTCCATAAACCTGAAAGAACCACAAAAGGCAAAAGATTTAACAGTGTGAAAAATTTAAAAACAATGCAATGAAGCAGCTGTTGGTAATACAAAAAAAAAAAAGGAAATNAAAAAAAAAAAAAAAAAAAAAAAAAAAAAAAAAAAAAAGGAAAATTCAGGGCTTCCCAGAATGGGCAGGAACAATGAAATATGTGTACCTGCTGAGCTAGCCTACTTTGAAGGTGATTAGCCTTCCATCCCTGTAAGTACAGTATCTTAGTTTTCAGATTCCTTAGTGTTTCATGATGTCTCCTACAAGCTCTGTCAGTGTAACATTTCTGTAAGAATAGTGTTTTATTTTATAGCGGGGCTAATTTGCAATATTTCTTTTGAGTTTCTCCCACAGTTCCTGATTATTTTTATGGTGCCACTTAGCTCTATAGAAAATTGCTGAAACGCTGTTTGATCACTTTGTACAGTGAATGTTCTGTATTGTGTGGTATGATTAATGTACAAGAGCAGGCAGCCAGCTGTTGCAGCAAACACAGCTGGGCGTGCTGAAAGAAAAGTCACTTCATAAATAATATAGGTTACTTTCACAGATACTGAACTGGAGCAGAGTTCAACTAGAATAACAGCAACAGATTTTTTATTTTGCGTTTTAAGACCTGTGATGCATGTAATTGTGAACCCGAAGATTTAACACCGTGAATATGAAAGCTCATCACTGAACATAATTCAGAGACAGTTCTAAGTCCCATTGCCTAAACATATTATCTTAATATCTTTATAATGTTCCCCGTTGCTCTGCTCAAGTCTGCACCAGCTGTGCTTTTCCATAGAAAACAATTCCGTAATGATATGAATTCTGTCATTCCCACATCCTGTAAATATTATTGAGCTGTGTCAGATTGGTGCTTTATACAATGCTTTGGAGAAGAATTCAGTATCTGGATCATTTCCTTTAACTGCTATTACATCAGCTGTTAATTTGTTCAATGTAACATAGTTGTTCCATGGATAAACTTATATTTTGAAATACTGTTCTGCTTTTTGGGCAAATTTCTGCACCATCATCCACCAAAAATGATATCTTGTGCTTTGTGATGTATCCCATGACTGGAAAACCTTTTAGATTATCTATCTCCTGAACCATAGTTTGTTATGTAAATACATACACATGCACACACTTTACCAATAGACACATGTATACTGCAATACACAAACTTGTATACAGTTATTACAAAATATATATGATATTTTAATGCTGGTAGCTACATCTTTCAGCTTCAGAGTTCATCAGGCTGCAGTATATGTACATATACTAATGTAGTAGCTGTTGAACGTCCAGTAATGAAACTTAACCAGTATACTGATTGATATAAACAACTTTAAACAGTTAACGGCATTTTCATTAGCATACATAGTTAGCAGTATTAAGATACTGCACATGATTCATAATAATTGTATACAAGCTTATGTGGATGATGTGTGAAGGCTATTTGGAAAGTAACCTCCAGTGAGCTGTTAACAAAACAAATTTTCATTACATATACAAAAAATATTTACATACTTAAGCTACTTCTCAATGTAGTCACTGTCAGAATTGAGGCACTTGTCATATGTGGGAATAAGTTTTTGTATGCCTGTGTCAAAGAAGTCAAAGAAGCCTGTGAGCTCAGCCACATTTTGACACCTTTCATCAACTCATTAGTGTTGAAGCGCTGTGAACCCTACCAGTTCTTCAGGCAGGTAAACGGGTGGTAGTCACTTGGAGTGGGAGCAGGGCTGTAAGGAGAGTGGTCAAACAACTCCCAAGTTGAAATGCTCCAGCAGTACTCAAGTGAAAGCAGCTGTACGCAGACATGCATTTTCATGGAGGAGCACTATACCAGATTTCAGCATTCCATGTCTTTTGTTCTGTATGACCCTGTTCGGTTTTTATTTTTTTTTTATTTTTAGTGTTTCACAATACACTTGTGGCTTTACTGTGGTTCCTTGTTACATGAATTGCACCATCAGCACTCCTTTTCTGTCCCAGAAAACAGCTACCATTATTGTATGATGTGATAGGGAAATTCATTGCCATCTTTGTGGTATCTCACTAAAAAAAAAAAGTCAAAGCCAAACTCCTACATTAGTTGCCTAAAATAAACAGAGGTTACATTCCAAATAGCCCTCATACATTGATTCACAAGAACATGATGGTAACTAATAATATAAATTGTTTAGCTTTCCTTCTCGTATATCCTGCCCATCTCATTCTTGATTTAATTGCCTTAATAATATCTGGCGAAGTGTACAAATATTGAAGCTCTTCAGTATGTAATTTTCTGCATATTCTTGGTATTTCCTCTTAGGTCCAAATACTCCTTTTAATACATCATCAGTCTTTGTTCTCATAGGAGTGAGGGGCCAAGTGCTGACCTTTGTAACATGACAGGTGAAGTTGTAGTTTGTATTTAGGTTTTAGAGAGGACACATGAAAATAAAAGGATGGACAAGTGCATTTATCTGGTGTCTGCTTTGATGCAGAGGTAATCATCAGCATTAACATTGTTTCCAGCCCACCCAAATCATTGACTATTTCGGGGGCCCCGGTGAGAGGCAATGCAGACTTCCCTGCAGAAGCTGTACAGAGTTTCCATGAAAAGCCAGTGCCCACACATGATTCTCGCCATGCGACTAAACCTACAGTCATTCACCAGCCTCGCAAGTAGGTTATCTGGAGTTGTAAGATTTTGTTGAAGATTGTACTAGTTTCTTCCACCAGAGAGAGAGAGAGAGAGCAGTTAATTGAAATTTTGATGTTAAGTGATTTATTTTAATACTACAGTCAATATTTTTGATTATCCAGTGAAAGATAGGGTGTATTTAAACTCACAGAGGCTCAAAATTTTCTAAGACAGAATTGTTTCATAATTTGTATTGCTGTTGATGGATTTGATGACATCTTCACCTACCGGGAGTACTACTAATATATACATAAAGCGATAGTGAAGAAGCAAGCAGGTAACATTGAACTGCCACTTTTAGGCCTGAATAAGAATTGTATGTGGAAGGTTTGTCAGCATTCCAGTAGTAATTTCTATAGTAAAATGTAGTATAAAGCTGTTTCCTGTTTTGGAGAACTATCTGATGTACAACTAAATTTGCTGGATTCCTAAAATTTTTGTTGGTTCCTTCACAATAAGCATTATCCAATATTTTGTTCTACACGGCCAGATGGCAGAAAAAATTAATTTCATTAAGACAGGTGGCAGTCCTTTGGTTTATAACCAATAACATGCACCTTAGGTGTCAAATATCGAGGGTAACTCAATCTATTTTTTTTTGTGTGTGTGTGTAATACTGGTCTACATTAAAATGTGACTTGGAGCTCATTATATTGTCACGTGTTGGGTGTTTATATTATTTTTTTATGTTTGTGAATTATATGGGGATTCTATATTGGTACTTTATCTTCAGTATCTAAATTTCATTTGAGGAAGACTGATGAGTAAATACTTTCCATACTAGTTAGAAGTATTTTAATTAACTAGTATTTGGTAGTAGAATGTAATTTTTACTTTGTAAGTATGAGAGATATTTTTCTTGGTGAACAGGGGGACCATGCTTATGTTTATTTTCTAAATGAAATGATCTTGAACGGAGAGAAAGTTGGGTGTGATGTGTGCTTGAAATGGAATGTACTAAGTAAAGATGCCTTAATGTGTGATTCAGACACACATATATTATAATCTGGCATATTACAACTTTCCAGTTGGCTATGCAAAAAGTGTTAAAGCATTTATAATGTATTAACAGTAATGATTTAAGAACCTTGTGTTGAAAGTGTTAGATACATGTTTGTTTCACTTTTAGGGATTATGGTAAAGATGGTGTTGGGTATACTTTTATGTATACATATTTGACTTCCTTTGAGAAACATTATTTTTTTAAGTTCAATATTATTCTTATTGTCAGAAAATGTACAATATAAAATAATAACATGAATAAAATGTTGTTACTTAAATGCAGACTTCATTTATGGAATATGGCGCAGTGAAATGTTGCTAACAACTGGCAATTTCATGACATTGTCATGAGTGTAATACCACATATCTGGGCAGTATCAATCTTTAATGATTTATGGACAAGTAAAATAGTAGCAGGTTGTCCAAAGGCTGATACCTTGCCCATCTCAAATTGAACAGTGCGGACAATCTCATTATTATATCCCATCTGAACAAGAAGGGCAGAGGTACAGCTGTGCATCAAGGAAATGACCCCTAAGTTTAGAAATTAACTTATGTTAACAAGTAGCTACAGAATGGAAATGCTACAGAAGAATTTGCTGCACAGAAGAGTGATTTTAAGGCAAGAAGATTAAAATGTCTTAAATTTTTGCAAGGAAGAACAGAAAAAGTCTGCTTCCTTTATAGAAAACTGTAGAAAGGACAGCAGGTGCTGTGAAAAAGCAGAAAGGAGTGGAATAAAGTTTCAACTCCAAGAAATGTCCAGTCACATTGCATGAAACTGAAAGTTCAATAAATGTCTTGTGCGCAGAACCATTGTAGAGTAATATGAAGGGAGAAGCGAGATTCCTATTCTGCACAAACTTCTTAATGTCATTAAAGAGAAGATCCACTTTTAGGGCAAAAAAAAATACATTTTTTGGAGAACTGTAAAAGGTGGTTTCAGACATGTAAGAATATGTGACTCCTCTTAATGAAACATTTCTGCGAGCCCTGAGAAATGACAGAGGGCCTCAGAAATACCAGTTGTTACAGAGACAGCACTTCATACCATTATATGATTAAAGAAGTGCTGGCAACATGATGAAATTCTAGCTATTGCAATGAATGAAAGTGATGGGCATTGAGCAGCAGCTGTTTGTGCAGTGTGAGAAATGGGGTTCACTGAAAGGGTAGAACTCATATATGATTATAAATCCAAATCTGAAGATTACTACCATGAAATGAAGAGTTAAAATTATAATAAGTGATTACAGGAGCATCTTATTTCCAGTCTTTCTTCCAGGTGTTACTGTTCTACAAAATTCATCATACTGTCCAAGAAAGTTAAACTTCCACCATCACGTTAATAATGTTATATTTTAGCGTCCTGTTGCACTGATTCACATTCATTACATGTTCTGGCACTAATGTGCCATCTTCAGGTGTGGTTTTATTTATGTCAAACCATTGCACTGTATGCCATCATGTCTCCTTTATAAAATGTGTATATGTTATGTATAATGATAAAGTTTATATATTAAAACTTCTCAAGATTTATCATCTATACGTCGCACTTCAAATTTTGCAAATTACGTCAATCCTCTCCTATGGGAGTACTCTTCCTATATTCTTGTTTGTATCTGCAACGTGAAAATGTTGCTCATTAATACCATGTTCTGACTTCTACCTATTACGTGTGGTTTTATAGTGTTTAATACATTTTAATTTGAAGTGCGACGTATAGATGATAAATCTTGAAAAGTTTTAATATATAAACTTTATTATTATACATGACATATATACATTTTAATCATTTTATAAATGAGACATGATGGCATACAGTGCAATGGTCTGATGTAAATAAAACCACACCTGAAGATGGCACATTAGTGCCAAAACATGTAGTGAAGAGAAAGGTGAAATTGTATGCACTGTAAGACGGTTGGTACAAATACACATCGTGAACGTTCCACCATCACGTTTTGTAAGAGATTCCATGTGGTTCTAAAGCCACAGTATTAGTGTTTGATTTATGCATGACTAAGCAGGAACTATTCTAAACTGTGAAATGGAATTAGCAGAAGCCTGTGTGCACAGTTGATAGAATTTTGAAGAAGATAGGATTGTACTGTACCATGATATTGATTCACTTGAATTCTTATGAAGCTTGGTAAAGCAGAAAAGAGCTGCTAAAAATATCAATACTTTCCCTCTCTGTGGTGAAGAAAATGATGAGGTCTGTCAATGAAGGGGGAGGGGTAGATTGAACAAAGGCCCACGGTTTCATTAAAACTCTGTAAGATGATTATTGACACTGGGATGCATTAATGGAGGAAAATAGGAAGGAAAAATGGAGAGAAAAAAAAAGGACATTGTGAACAGCGATGAAGATGATGATAAAGGCAAGCAATGCTGTCATGGTCAGTGGCAGTTAAGGCAGTATGAAAGACAGTAGATGAAGTGCCTACCAACACTTGAACTGTCATGGCTGATAAAATTATGAATATTATGCCATCTGTCTCCAGAATTCAGGTTTGTTTTGTTTTGTTTTATATACTGATATATTGTTGGGTAGTTGGTAATGTAGGTACTATTGATGTTTTCCTAGACTGCATGCAACCTCTCTGCCTTGCCCTCTCTTCTTCCATCTGAAGCCATGCATAGTAGTCATGAACACACAGTAGCGCCCTCAACAAAACTGGCATTACTTCACCAGATAGGATATACATGNAACTCGTTGGCTTAGTATACTCTGTTCTTGTGACAACAGGCCAGCGAAAAATCTAACAATCTACAGCAAAACCATCAATTATTATGGGCGTTATAACATAGGTGTGCAGCTGGACGAAACATACACGACGAACCCCCCCAGACGATTTAAATCCCTGACGAAACATACACGACGAACCACGGCAACGGGTTAACAAAACAGAAACAAACATATTTATGTATTATTGAAGTCGGTGTCATCACCAACATTACACATTCAAAATTACAAACTTTGCACAAGAAAAACAACATAATTTAAGAGGTCACAAATCTCACATATTTGCCATCATATTCCTACAGAAACAAAGACTATCTTCAAAATATCATGATTATTTATTTGTCTGCAGCCTTATTTTCACTTTGAACATCATATTAATTTTTCCATCTGTAGTAAAATACATACAGCACTAACTATACTGAAGGTGTGGAAAGATGCCCCATGGATGGTGAGGTTATGGGTGCTCAAAGACTTCCCATTTTCTGCATACAGTCCCTTTTGCCTACTTTAACAAGCCCAAGACACTGGTCACTAGCCCATGTTATTACCAGATAGAATGGCTATATGACTTGAAAGGAATACAGGAAAGCATAGCAGCTTGAGGGAGATGTGGAGAGGAGTCAATACATGGGACTTCTTTTCATGGCCTCTGTATATCTGCAGACTGTCCCAAATTAAGCCTTAGAGAAACCACTTGTCAGGAAGTGCTGCTGTAGAACAGTGGTTTTCAGGCAGGAACTTCCCTGCAACCACATTTGTGGATGTTCCAAATGTGTAAGAAGCTTCATTCATTGGATATGTAAAAATATTTTTGTGCTTATTTACATGTGATGAGTCCATTTTTAGCCTTAATCTAAACATGTTAAAACTTTAATAAATCAAATGATTTATTACTTGCAAGGTCGGGACACGCGGTAGGGTAGTTCTTTGAGGCACTATTCTACAAGCCAGAAAGTCGCGGGTTCAAGTCCCGATGAGGTCACTGAATTTTTTTAATTGACCTAATCCTTCCAGCTGCACTATGGCCCTGGGGTCAACTCAGCCTCTAACATAAATTAGTACCAGGAATATTCTTAGAGGGAAAGGACGGTTGACAACCTTGCCGCCATCTATGAGCTGATTGTCTAGAAAATGTGGGAACATCAACATCTCACAACCCTATGGGCCTCCATGGACTCTTACAGGGATACTTTTACTTGCAAGGAGGGAAAGAAAATAAAAAATGTACTGCTGCTGTTGTGCGATGGCAACTTTTGAATATGTTCTGTAAAGGTATGAATCATAATGTGACACTATGGGTAAGTGAATTTTGTTAAGTGGCTAGTATGTTTCAGTTGTATTTCTCAAGCTCTGTGTGCATGTTTTATTTGTATGTGCAGTATTAAGATGTAAAAGCCATGATAGCTCATTCATTACAGTGACGGGCTCGATGGCCAGGGATAAAGTCCCACCAGTGCGAGATTCTTCTTTTCTCCACAGCGTCCAGACCAGCCATGGGGCCTACCCAGCCTCCTATCCATTGGGTACCACTGGCACTTTCCTCGGGGGGGTAAAGCAGAGGGGTGTGAAACTGACCATTCACCACCATCTAGTGCTCAGGTCAAGAATGATGGAGCTATACCTCCATTCCGCTATGTCTTCATGGCATGATGCTTAATTAAGCTCAGGAACAAGTTTACGTTTTTATATTAAAATGCTGCACGTCAAAATTCTGACTGTTAGGACTAATATGAAACACATATGATGAACATGTTTTTATCAACAGTGAAGGGATTAAAGCTGGCCAGGAACCAAAGGCTAGACTGATGTATTATGATTATAATTGCTGTGCAGCTTGAGGTGGGTTCCAGTGTGAGCTTCACTTCTGCTGTATATTCCTTGATCATCAGTAGCTGAAGTGCATGGAAGGAATGTGTAACACAAAAGCAGTGTGAGCACTAAGCACAAAGGGATCTGCACTACAAAAAAATCAGATTGTTGTGACTGATTTTCCACAGGTGGTCAGTGCATTTAGCAAGACATTTCAACTAACATCGGAGTACTTGATAATACCAGAAGTATTGTACCCAATTCTGAATGTAAAATTTGTGACTGTGTGCTGCAGTGATCCTACACTTTATATTTATTTTTGAGCTCAAGAACAGTCCATTCTGTGATTCCTTCTTCTGCCAGATCTTGTTGGCGATTCTGGAAACTACTGCTTAACTTCTCCATCAACTGTCTGCATGTTTCTTTCTCTACAGAGCTCAAAAACTGAAGGCTTAGATTAAACCTGGAAAATACACATCTTTTGTAATTTTTATCTAATGCAATTATAACATTACAGTAGAGCAGAGCTGTAATGTAACCAGTGTGGTATCCCAGTTCCTTTCTGAGTGCCTGGGCACCATACTACTATTTCTTTAAAACACAGTGACCTCAGACATTGGTGTCATACCCTAAGGTAAAAGGGCTGTATTGGTCACCCCTCGCCTTAAATATAAGATATGGGGGATTATACAGTATAAATAAAAGCCAGGCAGTAATAAATTGTTTGCCCCAGTATTTACTCTAATTTTCTGAATGTCATTTGTTAGCAATGGAATTAAAGAAAAAGTGCCGGCAGGACAACCAACCATAATTTATGTATCCAGATAGGAGAATGGTAGCCAGATTTTAATGAAAAACGTTCCTTTTTAGTACTTATAATCATTAGTGTGCGGCATGCGGTTGCGCAGTTGGTTGAGGCACTATGCTACAAGCTGGAAGGCTGTTGGTTCGAGTCGCAATGAGGTGGATTTTTTCAGTTAACCTAACACACCCAGCCACTCTATGGCCCTGGGGTCGATTCAGCCTCTAACAGAAATGAGTACCACAAATCTTTCTGGGGGTTAAAGGGCAGTCAGTGCGTAAGACTTAACCTCACTGCCATCTATGAGCCGATTGTCTAGAGAAAATGGGGGAGCCTGAGTGTCTCACAACTCTGTGGGTCTTCATGGCCTCCTAACAGTGATAGCTTAGTGATAATCATTAGCATAGAGGGCTTTTGGGGGTCCAGGTTCAATTTAAGAGCCTGGGTCTTCCTTCGCAATTACATCTCGCATCGATACAATGCCAAGCATACACACTAAAAACACTCACATGACCATAATCAATATTTTAAATTATAACATCCTCTTTACTTCCTTTTATAAAACTCACAACTACTGACAATACAAAGGCATTCAATTAATATTATTAGGTACATGATTTACTTACAGCAAGAGATGACAAAGACAGTAAACAGGAAAATAATGCTAAAAATATGTAGTATTTACAGTTAAATTTGGGTACTTTGAGGACAGAAGCAGACGGTCTGAAACTTGGGGCCAATCATAGCTGCCCCTCCACTACAATACTTAAACTCTTGCTTTAAAAAAATCTTAAATGGAATGAAAATATGAGGAAATACACAGTAAAAATAATTTATAGTTAGTGTTGGAGACAGTGTTTCGTTAGTAAAGTAAGATTTTGAATTAATACTTACCGTTTTGCTTCTGTTAAAGATTCCAGTAACCTGACGACAAATACAATATCTGGAGTATTTAAAGAGAAAGCCAATAATGCCTGTAAGATCTCCCCTAATATTCCCACTGGTATTTCAGACTTCACCAATTCTCCCACTTTATGTGCACCAGTGAATTTGAGGAGCAGCAGGCGATCACATATATCCAGTGGTCTCCACTGTTGTATAAATTCTACTGTCGTCATTGGTACATGATCATCTTGCTACAGAAAAAAAAATACTTGTCAGTTAAAATAGTTTTTAAGTTAATGAATAAAGATCTCTTGCTTTGTTCCTGATAAAAAAATGCCTCACATATGTGGCATCTAAATCAGGAAGATGGAAATACCATACATATAAAGAATTATTTCAGTGTATGTTAATATAATTTTGTCATGTGAAAACAGTTGTGAAAAATCCAAATACTGTACATAAAGATTTAGTTTTACATTAATATTACACAGGCAAGTTATTTGAGAGCCTGTTGGCAACTCTTCTTCTGTTCAGGTGGAAGTTACACGTGCTACTTGCATCAGATCAGTCTGCACATATTCAGTCTCACAATATGACTGCCAAACCAGTAAGTTGGGTTACTGTAGCCTGTATAAGCAACTGCCTATGGGCTGGACAACAGGGGTTGCAGTTAAGAGTCCCAGTATGGTCAAGAATTTTCATTTCTCCATGTCATCAGACCAGCTCTGGGGTCCACTCAACATCCTATATAATGGGTACTGAGGACTCTTCTCCCCGGGGGGTAAAGCAGCTGGGGCGTGAAACTGACCACTCACCTTCAACTAGTACTGAGGTCAAGAATACGTGGATCTATACATCCACTCCGCATACGTCTTCATGGCGTAGTGCTTAGTTAAGCACAGGGACAACATTACCTTTTTACCTTTCGCGGTAGCATGGTTGAGGCACTATGCTACAAGCCGGAAGGTCACGGGTTCAAGTCCTGATGAGGTCATTGGATTTCATTCAGTTGACCTAATCCTTCCGGCCGCACTATGGCCCTGGGGTCGACTCAGCCTCTAACAGAAATTAGTACCAGGAATATTCTTGGGGGTAAAGGGCAGCCGGCACGTAGGGCTGACAATCTTGCTGCTATCTATGAGCCAACTGTCTAGAAAATGTTGGAACATCAAAATCTCACAACCCTATGGACCTCCATGGCCTGTTACAGGCTGTTACAACCTTTACTTACATTTTTATTCACCTTTCTATGACCCCAATATATCAGCGAACAGCTTATGAGCTTACGAGTTAATCAGTCCAGCTGCATGGAACGTATAACTACAAGCACCATTTTCAGCATCTACTGTGATCTTGGTGGGTTGTTTGTGATTGATGCTATATATTCTACCTACTAATCACCAAAGAAAAAGTATGTCTGAAACATCCTACTTTGGGTAGGCAACATTACAGAAGAAAAGTCCCATCTGTTCAACATGATCTCAGGTATGATAATTTTGGTTATCATTGTATGTTAAAAGAAGAATTTATTAACCTTCTAATAATAATATTACAGTCTATGTCAATGTATGATGATGATCCATCAATGATATTTTACACACAGGTTACTTTTGTTAGTGCCACACTATTCCACATTTATGTATGTGTAATGGTCTGATGATGCCACACGTGCCATTTTAATTTACATATTTTAAAATCCACATTGATGCAGGCTAGAGAACAAATGTGTGTTACACACGTGGTAGCGTAGTTGGTTGAGGCACTAGGCTACAAGCCAGAAGGTTACAGGTTCAAGTCCAGATGAGGTGGACTTTTTTCAATTGACCTAATCCTTCCAGCCATAATATGGCCCTGGGGTCAGCTCAGCCTCTAACAGAAATGAGTAGCAGGAATTTTCCTAGGGGTAAAGGGCAGCCAGCATGTAACGCTGACAACCTCACCGCCATCTGTGAGCCGACTGTCAGATAAAATGTGGGAGCATCGACCTCTCACTACTCTATGGGCCTTCATGGCCTGTTACAGGGAAAGCTAAACTAATATATATATATATTGCTTTGAGAGGTTGTAGTTGGTTGAGGCACTATGCTACAAGCTGGAAGGTCGCGGGTTCAAGTCCAGATGAGATCAGTGGATTTTTCTCAATTGACCTAATCCTTCCAGTCGCACTATGGCCCTGGGGTCGACTCAGTCTCTAAGAGAAATGAGTACCAGGAATATTCTTGGGGGTAACCGGTGGCCAGCATGTAAGGTTATCAACCTTACCACCATTGTGAGCTGATTGTCTAGAAAATGTGGGAGCCTCAACATCTCTCAACCCTATGGGCCTCCACAGCCTGTTACAGGGATAGCTTTACTTTATTTTTTATTTTTTTGAGAGACGATTAAGTTTATACCTGCATCATATTCAGAGAATGTGACTGGGTAGTTTCCATTTCAATTCCCTGTTTCTTTTTAGGAGCAAGGCTATTCCATATACTGCTTCTCTTGGACTGAAAGATGTTTAGCTTTTCTTGTTTATCCAGTGGTTTCAGATGTGATGCTTTCACCAGGTCCCTGCAAGTTTCACAGTGTACATATTGTAAAACTGTATTGCATATTTGCCAAATGTTTATGAACATATAAACTGCCAAGTAACCTGAATTCATCAAATGTGGCAACTCTCTGTTCCACAGCTCTAAGTTTTGCATCATTCTCTCGCCAGTACTTGGCATCTTCTTCTAAGGCTGCATGAAGTTCAGTTTCAAGAGCACTGAAGTTGATTGTGTCATCATCCTCATCTTCCATATCCACACACAGATTCTGAAATGACAACAGATATAGTAATGAAACTACATCAAAATGAAACACTAATTATCATGAAGTTATGTTAATCACTTTGTAGGTAAATAAATGTGAAGTTATTCCTGTGTGTGTAAGGGGTGGGCCATTAAATCTGGCCCTTACACTATGACCTTCAATGATCTATTGTGCTTCCTCTTTGGATTAACCCTGTATTAATCCTACACTTTGAATGAAACGTAGGACTTTATTTATGGGGGCATCATAAAAGTCACTTGGTTCCATGAAGAACTGACCCAGGTGACAAAATCTTAAATAAGCTATGTCCTCACAGTCACATAGGATATGTGTTAGCTCCATGTACTCTCTGACTTTTGTTATTAGACAGAGGTGAGCCATCTGGGCCATACCCTGGCTATTTTATGGCTGGATAATTCATAGGGTTTATGTCTTTCTATTGTACATTCATGGTATTATTACTAATTACACTTACATATGAAAAATTAACTTGAATTTCCTATGCAGTGAATACTAATATAATTTTGGCACCTCTTCTGTCCAACATTAAGGGCCAGGATAGCCCAGTCAGCATAGTTCTGGGCTATGGGCTAGATGATTGGGATTTGATTCCTAACAGATGTAAGATTCTTCTCTTCTCCATAGGATCCACACCAGCTATGAGGCCCTCCCAGCCTAATATCCAATGGGTACCACGGGTGATATCCCTCAGGGGCGGTAAGGAGGCTGGGCGTGATGCTGACCACTCACCTCCATCTAGTGTCCAAGCTCAAGAACGGTGGAACTGCACTTCCATTCCCGTGTCTTTCATGGCACAGCACTTAATTAATTACGCACAGGGACAACTTTGCCTTACCATACCTGCCCACCATTCCCATTCAAATGTGTGAAAGCATATTTTTAGTTTTATGCAGGGTTACAGACTAAATAAAACCCTTACACAAGAATCTGTATTTAAAGTGTGGTTATGAGACAAGATCCACACCATCCTTATTATAACACCTGGTAACAGTAACAGATGAAACTTCATTGGCCATGTCAAAGTTACATGGTCTTCATTAAATCAGTGGCTGATTTGGTTGGGTAAGTCGAAGTAACATGGTCTTTATATGTCTCGGGACTAATATGTATAACTACATAAATATGACGTGTGTGCATATAATTCTAACCTCAAACTGAGAAACTGTCAACATACTATCGTACAACTAATTCCATCTCCCTCATATGCTCGAAGTACTTGTTCACATACATGCCCTCTAATCTCAATTAAAAGCATCTACTGATAAAATCAAACACAAATTAACACTTCACCCCTTACATACACACCATCTAATTTCCTAAACACTTCCAATTTTCAGACATTGTATACTATTTGATTACAGCATAGGTATCGATCGTAACGATCGTAACGATAGAGACGGACCTCATTCGATAGTACATTGAATGTGACTATCGAATAGTTTCACATCGATAGTGGTAACTGAATGACAATACGTACGTATCAAAGCCAAGGGGTGGCAACTGCGATAGCAGATAAGTAATAAACAGGGCTGGCCTATTTAGAGCTTTATAGGTGAAACTTTGTTAAGCTCGGCACCATTTCAATGGTTATTCCCTTTTTTTCTGGGGGGGGGGGATATAGTCTACGGTTGTTCACTCTTTAAATTCGGTTCGAAGGTCGCATTGAGTTCGATCAGGATGGGAAAGTCGGTGCCAACTCTCCAGCGAAAACGATGGCGGTCTTACCCAATGACCAGGGTCAAGTCGATGGAAGAGTCCTTGTTCAAAGCTGCATCGTGGTAAGTGGTTGATCCATAAATGAGTATGACTATGTCATGCAAAGTACAGCTCTGGGTCATCGCCAGCCCGTCTCGACACGTTTTCTACTATGCTGCTCAGTATTATGGGCATTAAAGTCTTCACCAATTACGAGTATATGCAATACCCTCAAATTGAACAAAAAGCCTAGTCCAGTCGTTTCTGTCAATCGGGTTGTTTGTTGACGGTTTGTAGAAACCAGCCACAATAAGCTGACCATCTTTTGAGAAGATTTCTTCTCCACCTATCTCTTATCATTTCGTGACAGTCGGAAAGGTTTCCTCGTGAGGGGCATCTGGGACTCTGGGACTTACTGACGTTACTGACGGCGATTGCCATGCCCCACCCTCTTCGATGGGCTCTGACCTTTCGATTCAGACAGAAAAAAGGAAAGTAGGATGTGCCCTTGTAGTTTGATCACTTTCAGCTAGGAGAATAATGTCGTGGGCATTACAATGTTTCTGAAGTTTCCGTATCTTGTATTAATACTTCTCGCATTTCATCCCACGATTTTAATTTTATTTCGTATTATTATTCAAGGCCTGATAGAGGGGTTTATCTGTGCCTATCTTTAGGAGCACCTTGAAGAGTGTCTTTTCAATGCGTTTCTTCAGTACCTCGGAGCATTCTAACCAAACCACCAATATTTCTTTTCTTGGGCCCCTAATATTCCTTCCTGGTCCTTCATCACTCTTAGTGGGTATGGAGGAGCGAGCCGAAGGAGCTTCTCATTTAAGCCGGTTTGTTATTCTTCCTTGTCTTGTTAGCCAGGAACCATCGTTGTTCAAAGTCGTCGGGGCCATCTTCGGATTTTTGAAAGGAGTGCATGATTTCTACCGAGATAGGGTTAGAGTGCCCTCCATCAAGGAGAGGGAAATCTTTTTCCGTGGGTCTAAAATGAGGAGATCTAGGGGGGCTTGTGATCTGTGGTCTTAACTATTTTCCTTGCTTTTTTGTTGATATGTTCTTGGTTGTCATTAGTCTATTTATCTTTTCTTCATCTGCTCGTTTTCCACAATCCTTACTGGAGGCAGTATGATCGCCTCCACAGTTCATGAATCTAGCTTCCTTGCTACTTTTTTTGGCAATTTCCTGTTGGATGGTCACCTCCACATGTGAGACATCTTTCTTTCCCATTGCATCTGGTACTAAGATGACCAGATTGGCCACAATTAAAGCTCAGTCTTATCGTTTCTCAAGAATGACTCAGTCTATGGAATTAAGTTATAAGCCAACTGCGTCCCTATGACCCTGCTTAAATAATATATCCGCTCTGTCAATTTCAGATTATATTGACAAGAGTAATCGTTTCAACGATGGCTGGGTAAATTGCTGCCTAAAAAGAAATATTTCCGAACATTCAGCTGTTTCCTAATATTGTTTACGGCTATCTTCGCGTTCCTCCATGTTTTATAAATATATCATCATCATAACTTATATTTATCGCTACACATTCATAGGATGACATAGCGCCTCGATGCTATAAGTTCTGAGGTATTGAATGGATCGTTAAAACTAAAATAAAGAAGTCAGATGTAGCACTATTGAATATCATAAGAAGGATCAAGGACCCTATGATTTATACCATTTTTGTTCATCCTGCAACAAGTGCTGCGTATTTAACTCCAGGACAAATGAAAATAGGAATTTAGCGAGAAAACAAAATCTAATTCTTAATTTTAAAACAAATTTTAACTAAAATTCCCGCATATAAATATGAGGGTAAAATACTTAAATATGCCAAAACTGAAATAGTAATATTAGTACAGAAAATTTCCGACAGGGTATCATGTCACAGAAATGAGAGTTACAGGTCTTACCAGGCGTCTGCCCTGTCCTTAGTTGGTATTGGGAAGTGTGTGTGTGCGTGCGTGTGCGTGCTCCGGCCAACTGGGGACTGCAGTGTAAGTGCTGTTGTGATCGGTCGTGATGTAGTTAGGGCGTAAAGATGTCTGAAACGTTGAAATCCGGTACTGTGAACGAGTCCCTGTGTACACGTATGTTCATACATCAAATTAGCTATATAAATGTTGAGAAAGATGACGCACTCAGTAACTCGAATTATATAGCGTCTATTTGATCACTGAAATACTTGCCCCATTTAACCACATCAACAAATACTTTGATTGACTAAGATTTGAGGTTTTCACGGCGCTGACTATGAAGAATGCTGTCTTCTGGGATGTTTCGTCATGTAGATATTGTGTTAACCGACGTTTCGGAGGAACGAATCGCCTCCATCTTCAGGGTATAAGAAATCCGCGAGCAAGGAACCAGCGTGAGCAGGTGAAAGGGAAGTGGAAACGTATAGAGTGAAAATTCAGTGCAGTGATACAGTGGAATTATCAACACAGGAAATAAATGAAGTGATGTTCATATATCCTTCAGTGTTACAAGCGTTAGTGCTAATTGTGAACTTCAAGAGCCAGAACATCACGCTTCAACGTCGATATCACTAGCTGCAACATCAACCCCAACTGCAAGGTGTCGCCGTTAAGGTAAGTGGCCATGTCTTTCTGTCCGTTGCTTTGCGGTCTGTAAGGGCCACTGGCTAAGTCATTTAAAACTGCACACGCCACTTTCAAATGATGTCTGGAATGCCATAGAATCAGAGGGTTCTATAATATTTAAACATCAAGCTGGCAGTATGTATTTCAGAGAAGTCACTACCTACTTAAGGAGCTTTTTATATCCTGTTGTGTGTTACTGTGTACAACCACCCTCCCCTTTCTACGGTGTTAGGGCTCGTGCTAGGTTTCTGTGAGGTTAGGCAGTTAGACAGGCAATTGTTCTAGATCGTTCTAGATGTAGCACCGTGCCAGTGTGTGGGCCACACTGGTAGCACAGTGCTCCGGCATGCTGTAGGAAACTTGATGTCCTTGTAGTTCAGACAGTGGCGAACGGAAGAGGCCGCAGAAAGCCACGTCAAATTGGGCGGCAAACGGAAACAAAGCTCTTGAATGTCGAAAGGGTGACCAAACTGCTGTTCTACAGGCAACTGTCTTCTAACGACACTAATTTGGTCGGAATTTTAGTATCAACACAAGAACTGCTAATAAAGTAAATTCCTATAAAATGCGGATTTGTTTTCCTTAAAAGCCTCTGCAATTTCGAGGCTAGCCATGTGTGTAAGTAGCGGCCTCGTACGCACAGAATTGATCGCATACACCAGGGAGCAGAGTTCACATGTTGAAATTTGTTTTGTCTGTTCTTCAAACAATGAAATGACATGATGCTCTGCTTTCACTTACATTAATAAGGTGGTTGCCTTCCTAAGGAAATATTAGGTAGAATCAGTACGTTATTCTTTAGGTATGTGATGGATTAATACGTTATATTTATAAATTTGTCGTTGTATTAAAGTGATATTTCAATCAATGAAGTTTTCATATCTGTACAGCAGATGGGGGCGCATCTACAACCATAAATGTTGTTCGACTCAGTACTTCCCATATCTTCCAAAGCGAGGCAGCCCACTCTACACATTCATATATGCACTAATTCATATGAAGTACAGATTTTGATGAATTTATCGTAGGAATACGAACATACTGACAAGAGTATGCTGTGGAGCTCGCCATGTTCCCATTGGCATCCCGAGGAGGCAAGCGGAGTGCGCTGGACGTTTGGAGTTATTTCTCTTCTCGTTCATGTTACCTTAGAGATGGTATGGGGGGCGGGCATGGGGGAATTTGGCGTCACCCGAGCGGGTTCAGAAATTCCTGCAAACGTTACNGGAAAAAAAAAAAAAAAAAAACGCCAACACGCATTGGCTTCTTTAGAAAGCCATGCTTCTAAAAGATGAACCGATGAAACTATTATCATATACATATACAGGGTGATTCACGAGGAGTTACCGCCAATTATGGAGCTCATTTCTGAAAATATTTTGAGCAAAAAGCGTCATATAAACCTGGGTCCTGTACTCAATATTTACAGAGTTACGTTAGTAATTGGAAACGCACTACTGTGAACTGCGCGTGGTCTTCGCCAGCATAAGCACGTGAAGTGTCTGCAGCCGGTTAGTAGGGTAGGCCGGGTAGACCGGGTAGACGCAGTTAATGCTCATGCAGTCTGACCGTTGCCTTTGGTTGTGAAAGTTGGGTTACAATGCTGCTACATAAATCATAGATAACAGTGTGCACCTACGTAGAGCAACGTGCGCGGTTCACAAACGTGCAGGCAAGTGTATCGCGGTAACTTCTCGTGAGTCATCTTGTATAACACATTTTTGGCGCCGACAAGCTGTAGCTCTTGCGCTGTTTTAATTTTCTCTTTTATGAATACTTACAGGACTGAGTGGGAGTGGGGTGCACCAGGCCATTTACTAGGACATTCTGGGTCAGTTACAGCCTGAATCAGAATATAGGTTATATTTTAGCGTCCTGTTGCACTGATTCACGTTCATGATCTGTATTTGTACCAACCCTCTTACAATGCACACAATTTCACTTTTCTCCTCACTATATGTTTCGGCACTAATGTGCCGTAATGTGACGTAAATAAAACCACATATGAAGATGGCACATTAGTGCCGAAACATGTAGTGAGGAGAAAAGTGAAATTGTGTGCACTGTAAGACGGTTGGTACAAATACACACCATGAATTAGAATATAGGATTTCTTGTTTCGTTCTTTTTTTTTTTTTGGAAAATCTGGAAGAATGAAACCTAAAGTTCTCAAACAATATAAATTTACTTTCTCTTTCGGATCTTCTAATCGGCTTGATAGAATGGTTTCAGATTTGGATATTTATTCGGCAAGAGGACTACTTTAAGGTGGAAGGGGCCAGATTTCGCATTCCTTGACCATTGTTGCACGCACACGCAGACACCCTCTCTCTCTCTCTTTCACACACACACAAGTTCTGACGCGCACACGAACGCTCACACGCTCTAACTCACGCTCACTCTTACTTTCACTCACTTTCTCTACTTTTTTTTTTTTTGCGTTGCTTTACTAATCTGTGATTTCTCTCTGAGGTATTGTTTTGTTACGGTTTAATTGCTTCAGACTGAAAATCTTGAACTTACCGCAGCAAGATGGAAAATACACGTAGGTGGGTGATTGAAGACCTTACTATGACCTTTCTTCAATACTTAATGTATTTTAAACATTTCGTTTGGAATTTGCAAGGCTAAAATTTTCAGTGCTTTGTAGTGCAATGTCTTGAACTTTTGCAGGATTACACTTCTTGTTTGTCGTCTTGGTTCTTCAAAGATTTTATTCGTTCATTTTTTCCTTTCTTTCGTAATAGAAATAGGATATTGTTCGAGTCCTTGTGTTCCTCGTTACGTGGCAGAAGCCAGGATGCTCAATCAGCACAGTGACTGCCTATAAGCTGGATGGCCAAGGGAAGCGGGCAGTTAAGTTTTCTGGACGTTCTGAATCATCTGCAGCTTGGATCCGAATACAAAGACACTAAACTGGTGGAACCCCAGAAGCATTCTTGACTTTGGCGTTAACATTTTTGTTTCGCGTTGAGAACGTATAGGAGGTGTTTAAATATGGTATAAAATGGATAAATATTCTACTAATCGTTCGTTATTTTATTCAAAAATCCCTAAAAGAAGTTAAGACTCAATTCACTAACCGGTTAAAATTTATTGCATTTTTAATTTTCATTAAATTAAGACGTGATCTTATGGAAGTTCGTCACTTCGCACATTACAGTAGATGAAAACATGCAAAAAATGGTACCATGAGTTTTCAAAATTTATGCACTTATAATTTCAGACTTTAGAAATAATATTGCAAAATTACATTTACATTCACTACACCGTTGAGGAGAAATTAATAATAATAATGATAATAATAATATTGAAACCCTGACTTCTCGATTTGCAAGCTATTAACTGTAGCATTGTGGCAACGTTGGAAACAGTTACAAAGTAGCGTAGCAGAAACTACAACGAGTTCCTATAAGATGTTCAATCACAGGGGGCTATAATAGAATTACATTATGATAGACTTTTAGAATGAATATAATCCTCTAGTGATTAAATTAATAAATTAATGAACTCAGTACATAATGGAAAGGGGAACAAAATATAAACAGGAAATTAAATTTTATATTATATAAAGACGATCAGTACGTTGAATTCGGACATATTATATTATCAAACGATAAGAAAAATAAAGTAAGTAAGATTTCNATTTAATTAGAAAATATCCCTTGTAAGAAAACTATACAGAATATACGTACATACTATGAACACTGTCCCCTGTTATCTAGAGATAAAGTACTTATATCAAAAGTATTGGTTTATGCCACTCTTGCTCGTCTTCCCATCGAATGTATAATAAAAGAAATTGTATAAAAACTCGATAGACATAGCATGCCATCTGTGAGCCGATTTTCTAGAAAGTGTGGGAGCCTCGACGTCTCACAAGCCTATGGGCCTCCACAGCTTCTTACAGGGATAGGTTTACCTTTTGCCTCGTCGAAGTTTAGGCGTTGCAAGAGTGCGATGACACCACAGTTCTGGGTACTTTTAGCAATGAATAGAGAAAAGAGTAAGAATTCTATCCAAACAGAAAGTGGCCGTCTCGGATACCTACTGTAAAATGAACTGTGGAGTATATGAACACACAAACAGCTCGGTAACCTGCAAATAACTCTTGAACTTCTAATGATGTCAGCTCAATAATTGCTGAGAATCGGAAACATTTTCAGATCTGTATGTTACTGATGACTGGGAGGAATGGCCTGAGGAGAACGCTTCTGATGTACTGACACAGTCATTGAACACTCAGCATATTATGGGATAGACTTAAGGCTGGAATGCGGTGAAAATTAGTCACTTCTAAGGATAATGTTTAAGGCCGTAGTGTACATACCCTTTTAATAAGTAGCAAATTTATCAGTCTATGGAAATTATTTAAGGCAGTAGAGTATAAATTGTCGGTCAACAGATTGAAATAAATGACGTCTTAAGGTAGGAGTGTGGACAAACTTTGACTTAGAGAATTGATAATTTATGTGGTTAGCGGATAATGTTAAAACAGAAAAGTAACATATTCTGCGAAAACACTTGTATGTTACGGAAGAATTAGGAACATTCTTTATTAGAGGACTGATCTGTTTGTGCCATACCTTTAAGGCAGGATTGAACAATATGTAAGTAGAAGGACGTACTGTAGGATACGAACACTTCTCATTGCTCTGAGCAATTATTAAGATCTTTTTAATTCAGTAAATATATTAGACTTACGTGATTCCTGTTTTCTTTGTCAGTTTCTTCGACAGGTACATTTTCTCACCCGTGTTGCAACTATTTTGCTTAAGATAACGATGAGACACGGTCAATGTATTCATTGGCTTGGAATAATAAGGCACTGCAAGTCTGTTTCAGTTACTACTTGAAATTTGTAAGAAAATTGATTCGAGACTTCTATATTGAGGTTAGTAATTCAAACAGCAAGCCCCTAATTCCGCCTCAGCGTTGTGCAACTGATGCAGGTAGCTGAAATATCCACCGCCTTTATTGCTCGCCAGAAACTTGTATTCAGACTAGTTAATAGTTCTTTGCCTCCGTAAAATGGAATATATGTTCAATTATGCATTCAAAATGGCGTAGTAGCACGATCTGCATACCGACGCTAAATATGAAACATCGTTCCCGAAATAAAGAAACATGGAAATGACAAAGTTAGATTTGAAATAACCATGTGTGGATTTGTTAGCGACATAATGTTAATGCTTCAGTGTGAGAATTATATTCGGCTGGCTGTGGTTGTTCGTTCATTCTTCATCTGTTTGTGTTGATATCCCTTATGGACCTATAGTGAAAATAAACATGTTGAAGGAAATATGTTTACTGAAAGAAAGTTCAGGGGAGTTTCCATACGTCTGTGCATATTTCCATAACATCAGACACAGTGCAGAAGAGACAGGGGTTTTGACCATGCAATATCTTTCCTACGGCAATAGAACAAAAATCAGTAGAGATAACATTTACATTTTAGGGCTCAGTGCACCATATCGTTCTAGTTGCTCCCAGAAATTCCCGATAAAAGCAAGGAGACGGCAGATCACGCTACCAGACAGAAAATATGTGTCATTTCATCGGTCCTAGGAAGCAGGATACGCCTCTTTAAGGATGACGTAACAAAGTCACTTCCGCTGTGTGCACTGTAGCCCTTTAAGATATTTTCATATGTATTTTGGAGCCGAGCAGTGCACATCATGTCCTGGATCTGGAAGAGTTTTATGAAAGTGTCACATACGAGGTTTCAGTTTTTTCAGTCGTTCGTGTACCAAAATTCACCCTTAGTTACAGTATCACTGTTAATTTAACAGAATGTAGTGTATTATCAAGTACGGGCCTTTTTCCCCTCCCTAGGTCATGAATGAGACGGCGCATGCGCGAGCATGCACGCCCTTGCTGACGCCAGCGTTCGTAGCCTAGTCTTACAGGGGCAGCTGGTCTTCATATGGTTCTTGCTTAATCTTGGCCAGTTTGTTCCTCACCTGCAAACAGCAAGAAGCACAATAAATATTGCGTGATTTATGCAGCACAGTGGTTTCCAAGCTGCGGTTCGCGAAGCCATTAGGGTTACTCGAAATATTTCGGTGAATTATGCCCTTTTATGAAAACTTGTGTTGATATTATGTGTTGATAAGATAACGAACACCACATAGACGTATTATGTGGAAGTCTTTTTCGTCTATCGACATGTTATGGCCTACCTCTGGAACTAAAGAAAAGCTTTCGATCGAACTTCGTGTTGTCGTGCCTACACTGCACATTGTGTGAGGAGTCAGCACTGAACATTTTGTGGGGAGTCACATTTATGTTGATATGAGTCCAGCATAACATACTTTAAACGAGTCCGTAGATTATAACTAAAATTGAGATCTCATTAAAACATGCAATTTCTGAAATGTTTTCCATTTTGATCAATATTAGAGACATAAAGAAAAACAACTTCTAATTTAATGTAGTGTGACATCTGTAGTAAGATTAGACTTAAAACGATGGATTTGCCTTTGCAATAAATGAACGTCAAGGCCAATGGTGTATGCAGAACCGCAACTAATTACTTCCATAGTGCGGAGTCCTTTAGAAGCGAATAGGCACTTGGATTTCCCGCCTGTTATGAACCCTGAAATTTCATTACCGTCCTTACTAAAAGTACGCCATTGGACCCTGTCCTCAGCTAGATGAATGCAGTACACAGCCTCCAACGCCAACATTTTAAGAACCAATTCATCATTATTTTCCCATCTACGTACAGATTTTCCAAGTGACCTCTTCCCTTCAAGTCTTCTAATTTTTTAAATTAAAATCTAATCTCTGTAATGCGTGCTACATGCCCCGACCTGGTCTGAGGGCGTGGGGTTACTAGAAGTTGTGAAACTAAGCTCTCAGCCATATGATTCCAGCAAGATTGTACAACTGCCCATTAGATTGAACGATGATTATGAATGGTGAGAAAACACGGACATGGAAATAGGCTTCTGTGGACTGCTTCAGTGCATTTCCCTGGTGTTCACCTAGACGGGATGTGGCCAACACACTCCGCGCACATCTCATTTATGGGGATTTACAGATTAAACCTCCAACAACTGAAGAACTGAGTAGATGTATCCGAAGAAAAGTCTTATCTGTTATATAAGTATGAAAGGAATTTCAGCACATGTACATAAACTTTTATGGAGTGTCAGTAAGGCGTACGGAACAATGGGAAGCATTTCCAACTTGTGCTGTATTCTGGGTTTCAATCGGCAGGTTTGTCTGCTGCGCTCGCTGCCAGTCCGAATCTGAGTGGAACTGACTTGTTGGAACGAGCTTCTGACTTTTCTTACAGAGAAATCCAGCAACTTTGCGGATTCATATGCAGGGAATCGCAGTGTACTTTATACGAACCTTCTCGACTTCCTTGAAGACCCTTATGAGGTTGAGTCCAGCGAGTTTCTTGAGGTCTTTTGTGCTCCATTTGGGTTCATCTATTTGCGCCAACCGCTCAAATAGGTGAGGGTACTTTGACACGTCCTCCAATCCTTCTGGCATCCTGCAAAGCAAGGAACAGTTATGTGCGAGTGTTTCAGTTATAAATTCTCACAAATTTATTCTGAGATTCTCGCAGACAATACACGGTATAAAGTAGTACATATATTGATGACAAAACAAAGTGTTCAGGAAAACAGCTGGACTAAGTTCGTAATTCATTATGGACCTATTACATAACGAGGGACTGATTTTACAGGATAGTGAAATATAGAAGGCTACTGTAAGCTGGGCATGTAACTTATACGAGGGTATCAAGTTATGCGTACGCAATTTTGGTGGCAAAGTCTCCAGAGAAAATTTCACTTTGACGATCGAGGATATGGGAGGACAATATTAAGCCGCAATTTGGGCAAACATATTGTAAGGATAGGAGGAGGCTATAACTGGCCGAGAATTGAGTCCAGTAGTAGGAATTAGTATTAACACTGTTGCAACATCGGGTTCTGTTACTAAAAAGAGAACTTGTTTCACGGAGGAGGTGTACATAGAAGCCTAAATAATGCGCTCCATTCGTATCTCATTAAACACAAACAAAACAAACTCCGTGTCCTGTAGTTCGCAAGCGAACTATACCGACCGAGCGACCGCCGCTTGTCGGCGAAGTTAGTGACAGTTTTAGCGGATAGAGGCCGTCGCGTGGTCAGCGCACTGAATCCCCATGGCCGTTAATTTCGGTTTTCTAGACCGGAGCCTCTATTTCCTTAAAATAGCTCCTCAGTTATCCTCACGAGGCTGAGTGCACCCCTTTCCAGACCCACTACTTCACAGAAAATTCTGGTAGCGCCGGGAATCGAACCCGGACCTCTGGATCTGTAGCCAAGAACTCTGACCACTAGGCCACAGAGGCGGTTACAAAAGTTATATTCTATGAAATTTTTCCCACTCATTGTACGTAAGATTTATGGTGTTTGGATGACAGAAGATGTGAATGGGCTAACATACCTCACTTCCCCATTGTGCGTTCTTTAAGAAATACCTGAAAGCGGAACGCACCGAATGAATAGTTTTTTCAGACACCTATGATACTGTTATGAAGCACTGTACCCAGAATCACTTACCTGTCAACTCCATCATAGTCTGAACCTATGCCGACATGGTTCACGCCAGCTGTCTTTCGGATGTGGTTGATGTGGGCTGCGGAAATGCACGATTGTATTATTGTTATTATTATTATTAATTCTATTATTAACGAACTAAACTAACTTCAAGTTGCTAAGCCATTTTTGTGACGCCGACATTTGTGCAGCTACTCAAGAATTTCCCAACATTTTACGGAACCCGAAAGCTCATTACCGTGTTCACAAGACCCCTCTACGGGTCCCTATCCTAACCAAGATCATTCACAAGTTTGCAAAAATATCACAATCAGAATATCACACTCTAATCTCTCACCGCCATGAAATCGCTGCTGTCCCCTTTTATCTTATTTGACACCGCATAATGTTTGAAACAAAATAACCGTGTAAGCAGCCAGTACACAACTCCACTCCTCAACATGCAGGAAACTGATAATTTCTTACTAACACTCTCTTCACTACTTGTGGGACCTTACAGGAGAGTAACTTTGCATAGCCCGTACTGAAACGCAATGTACCATACGAGAACGTGGTGTTGAGATTCAGTTTAGACAAAACTGCACAAATTGTTTCTGAAGTGCTAGTAAAGTAAGGAACTTCGCCTTCGCCGCATTCGAGGTGAGTGAAATTACAAAGTAAAGTTTCTGTGAGAGGATTTCTGTATCTCTCTGCATATGATATAAAGGGCTGCATGGAAATTTCTCTGCAGTAACAGTACATATGTTTTCATTCTGAAAAAAAAAAGCTCAAAAATAAAATGGAGCAACATAACAGGGATATAGAAGGGGGTAATCCCTGAAGCAGGATTCGTTTTCTAAAGCGTGTGGATCTTGTTTTCGTGCCCATTTGTCCTGTTGTTTCTCTCATTAATAGTAGGGCATGGCAAGCAACAGGCAGTATAAATCAGTACTCTGACATGAGCAGATTTTGCTAATTTGTCCCACAATCATCTCTGAATTGGCATACAAGGAAAATGGCGATGCTTCCAGCCCCCAAAGGGTTAATCAGACAACAACTGGAACATTTGGCGCTTCTCGATCTACGTTCTACAGCAGATAAACAAGGAGTTCTGGGAAGAACTAATCGCTTGCTTTCCTTTCATAGGACAAGGATGGTATAGAAAACGAAAGAATTAGGGGGGACACACAAATAATGATGTCATAACACAAAACTAGCAACGGCCCGTTGCGTAGCAAAAATGTGGGGAGACACACAGACGGCAAGGTTAGCTCATAAGCTTCCTAAAAAAAGTTAAGGGGACACACACACACACACACAGCAAGGTGATCTCAGAAGTATCTATAATTTTTTAAAAAAGAGGAAAATAGGCTAAAATACTTTTTTTTTAGAACTGATGTGAATAAATACAGAGCCTCAGATTTCAAAATAAAATTACTAAATTTGGAAACGAAGGCTGAAAAAATCATTAATGGCGATTTCGCTATTCTTTATAACAGCACGAAACATTTGCCCGGCTTAGCTAAACACGTCAATATGGGATCGAAATACGGACTCTTGGAAAGAAACGTTAACGGCGCTACAGCAGCTCGGCATGTACTCACCTATGACATCATCCACTGTAGCGTTTTTCGATGCATTACACTGGATAAAGCCCGAGTAAAAGTTGACCATCACAATTCCGCCGTTTCTGGCCTGCAGAGTGAAATATTTACACTCATTAATTCTGTCGCTGTCACTGAACTGATACCAATACGGGAAAGGAATACCAATTTCACTTTTCCCTCTCGATCTTTTCATTACTGGTATTATGGACAGCTACTTTGTTTCGCATGGATACATTACCACCGTAGCTAGCACGTCGTCCCGTACGTTGCGATGATGGTTGCATAACGTATAGGCTGATGAATGAGAAAATATGACAGGTGCTTTCGATACGTTGAGGGCGTCTATCATGGTCTGGTGGGACACATGGGACAGGTCTACCAACATTCCTAGGCGGTTCATCTCGAGCACAACAGTCTGAAACACCACAACATGACAATCTGAAACTCGCCTGGACAGAACAGTAAATGCCTATCATTTGCAGAGAGCGGTTGCGTAACTATCTCGCCTGACAGGCTAAACCAGTAAGGTAATTTAAAGTTGTCCCTGTGCTTAACTAAGTAAGCATTACACCATGGGCGTATGGGGGAGTGGATATATAGATACACATTTTATTGACCTCGGCACTAGATGGAAGTGAGTGGTCAGCTTCACGCCCCGGCTACTTTACCCCGGAGAAAGAATCCCCGGTATCCATTGGGTAGGAGGTTGGGTGGGCCCCACAGCCGGTCTGGACGACATAGAGAAGTGAAGATTCTTGACCTTACCGGGACTCGAACTCCGAACACTCGGTCATATATCCGCCCTGATACTAAGACTGGACCAAGCGAGATCAACATGACTAAACTTCTTGACAGACTGATCGGCCGGCAAGGAAAAAGAGCGACTTTCTTTACAAGTTAGTAATTATGAATGATTAATTTTTATTAATGGATGTCGAAGGAAGCAATGTTGGCAAGCTTTAAGTATTATTCCAGCGAAGAAGAACATTAGTTACAGTCGGACTGATCACGGTGACGTTCGGAATGTGTTCGTTTCGAATCTCGGCTGCGATATGGGAAATGCTGACTGAAAATTATCATGGCTTTCCTAGCTCTTTTAGACTCGTAATAGCAATTGAAACAACATTAAGGAAATCCGATGTCAACACCGTCCAGTGTAATTGGTAAATGTTTTTTTTTAATAATTCATCGTTTACATGTGTTGGTCGGAGCGACCATCTTCAGCAGGACATATCAATACATGCGGAAACCAGTGTTACAATGACAGCGGTCACTACCAATACACACAGGCACCGCCACTACTGTGGCATGAATATAAAATCTTAGCCTTTAACAGTTACATAGATGTGGCTGAATTTATTAAACTTACTTACTTACTTACTCATGGAGCTGAGCCCTTCTGGAGGAGCCACCAATTCTGCAGCTACTCAAGAATTTCCCAGCATTTTATGCAACCCGAAGGTTCATCACCGTGTTCACAAGAGCCCTCTACTGGTCCCTATCCTCAGCCAGATCAGTCCAATCCATACCATCCCATCCTATCTCTCTAAGATCCATTCTAATATTGTCCACCTACCTACACCTTGGTCTTCCCTGTGGTCTCTTTCCTTCTGGCTTTCCCACCAATATCCTATAGGCATTCCTCGTCTCCCCTATTCGTGCTACATGACCTGCCCACCGCATCCTCCTTGACTTGATCAATCTAATTATACTTGGAGAAGAGTACAACTTATGAAGCTCCTCATTATGCGGTTTTCTCCAACCTCCTGTCACTTCATCCCTCTTCGGTCCAAATATTCTCCTCAACACCCTGTTCTCAAGCACCCTCAGTCTATGTTCCTCCCTTAATGTCAGAGACCAAGTTTCACATCCATACAGAACCACAGGCAAAATTATAGTTCTGTATATTCTAATTTTTACGTTTTTGAACAACAGACGAGAAGACAAAATGTTCTGGACTGAATGGTAGCAAGCATTACCTAAGTTCAATCTCCTGTTAATTTTCTCCTCAATCGATATGTTATCATTGTTCCGAAATATCTGAACTGTGCCATATTTTCAAAACATCTGTTTCCTATCTTCATGTCATGAATTTGCCCTGCATTTTGGTGACGAGGCAGTAACATATACTTAGTTTTCTCTGTGTTTACTTCTGGACCAACCTCGTTACTTGCGTCAATTAAAGTTTGTGTGTTTTTCTTTATGGTATCTACATTATCACCCAGTATATTCACATCATCGGCCGGTCACGGTAGCCGAGCGGTCTAAGGCATGTACTGTCTTCGCTCGCTCGGAAGCCGGGATCGTGGGTTCGAATCCCACTAAGGGCATGGATGTTTTTAGTTTGTGTGTGTGCGTTTTTCTGTGTTTGTGTACAGGTAGAGACCTTGCGACGAGCCGATCATCCGCTCAAGGAGTCCTACCAAATGTGTAAGATCTAGAAAACCCGAAGTGAACGGAGAAGTTCATGGAGGTAGGCCTAGGCTCACTGGGGCTGTAGTGCCAAGGAAAAAAAATAGTCACATCATCGGCGTAGACCAACAGCTGATGTGTCCCGTTTAGTTTCAGTCCCACTTGGTTTCCCTGGACCTTCCTAATTTCATATTCTAAAGCAAAGTTGATAAGGAGTGGCGATAAAGCATCTCCTTGTTTTAAACCATTCTGGATGGGAAATTTATCAGACAAATGTTTACCTACACGGACTTTACTATACGTTTCGTTTAAACCTAACTAGTTTCATGGGTATGGCTGAATTTATTAAAACATTTATAAATTATTACAATTAGTCTATTTATTAGTATGGTTTAAAAAATCTGTTAAAATGTAGAACCAATTTGATTCGTGTCCTTTATACTACTTCTCTTTAAAGGAAGTTGAGTGTCTACCGCGTCGTGGTTCCGTTGTTTGAAAATAGAAAACGGAGTTGATGATCTTTCATACTATTGCCAGTGTGACTAACCAGGATGAACCAAGTCAAATTTACCGATGTCACAAGTTCTTCCCAGAACCTATTGTTATTTGCTGTTATTACCTTTCCAAACTCCGTCAGACCGCCATGACGATCCTTCTCTGCATCAGGAGATATAGGTACGTCGTCCACTGGTGACCCATCTGCCCTGAGAAGAGGAGATTAAGGTTTCAGTCAAGTTCCAATTTAGAGCGTAGGGGAAGAACATAATTTGAAAGAAAAGGAAGGGCCAACACACACCACCAGACTGAAGGGGTAGATACTTATGCACTGAACTGGAGTGTACAGTGCCGGTCTCTGTAGCCGAGCGGTCTAAGGCATGTACTGTGTTCGCTCTCTCGGAAGCCGGGATCTTGGGTTCGAATCCCACATAAGGCATGGATGTTTGGTGTGTGTATGCGTTTATTCTGTGTTTGTGTTGTTCTGTATTTATGTAGAGGCTTTGTGACGAGCTGATCACCCGTCCAAGGAGTCCTACCGTCTGTAAAATGATCAAGAAACTGAGAAATCAGCCCTGCGCTCCAAAGTGGGAGTGAGAGAAAAAAATAGATATATAGAAGGAACGTGTATTTCAGTCCGTTATTTGTCATATTCAGACCTAACTGGCATCTCACTTTCATTTAGCACAGACACAAACCTACTGTTGTGAAGCTAACAGGGCTATAGAGATGCTTTAGTTTCCATCACAGTTTATCAGAAATTCAAAATATGGGGGAATTTTTCAAATGTACATTTTCTTTATTGCTAGTGGGGTGGGACTAAATCCCTTGTACTGCGGCCACTTCTGGCCTATTGTACCAGTCCCGATGATAGGTGAGGGTGATTGTGGAGCAATTGGTGGAATGAAGATTGGCAGGGGAAACCGAAGTACTCGGAGAAAACCTGCCCCAGCGCAACTTTGTCCACCACAAATCCCACTTGACCAGACCCGGGATCGAACCCGGGCCGCCGCGGTGGGAAGCCAGCGACTAACCGCTTGAGCTATAGCGCGGCCTCAAATGTAGATCTTACTGTATATATTATGTTATGGGCCAGTTCTTTTGTAAAAACAATTCTTTTCGAGAAATAATGCAAATAAAAACTACCTTAATACGAGGCAGTAAGTTTGAATTTATCGATATGAATCAAAACTACTTTCGCTCAATTATTTTCAGTGTGGAAGATCCAGTAACTTTTATCGAAACTCATCGAAATATTTCAGGGTTGAAAATATAAGGACGGACGGGCGATCATAGAAGACCTCTCCATTATGTGTTCGTTTGACAAACCCTGTGAAGTAGGAAGTGTCTGCAACGGTACTCACCACGGAGTGTTGCATGAGTGTGTAAGGGTGAGGTAGCGGACTCCCAGGTCATACATCTGTCTGAGAACTGCCAGGCGACTGTCTATTGAATGGCCTCCCTCTGCCCCTATCAGACTTGCGATCTTCTTGTTTTGAAAAGCCTCCAAAATACCTGTAATGATTAAGTGGGCATTAACATGATAATCTGCATGGGAAATCGTGATCATCACCACCATCATGGTTGTGATTACAAGAGAAATTTGAAACAGTTAATAAGTTAGGTCCTAAATAATAAATTGGCATATTCTTCCAACTGGACCGCCTCTGTGGTCTAGTGATCAGAGTTCTTAGCTACAGATCCAGAGGTCCCGGGTTCGATTCCCGGCGCTACCAGATTTTCTGAGAAGTAGTGGGTCTGGAACGGGGTCCACTCAGCATCTTAAGGATAATTGAGGAGCTGTTTCAAGGAAATAGAGGCTCCGGTTTAGAAAACCGAGATTAAGGGCCGTGGGGATTCGTTGCGCTGACCACGCGACACCCTCTATCCGCTAAAGTTGGAACTAACTTCGTCGACAAACGGCGGCCGCTCGGTCGGTATAGTTCGCTTGCCGTCTCAAGTCACGGAGTTTGTTTTTGGGTTTTGTATTCTTCCATCTTTCTTCGTTGACGATGACGATTATGGAACAACTGTATAATGATAATTGGCACGAGAAAGCAGAGGCCTTGGGGCAAGATATATCCCCATGCCACACAACAAATCCTATATGCATAACGACTCTGCTGGGATTGAACCCGGGCCTCATCAGTACGATCCCGTTGGATTACTACCTGAGCTATATCATGGCTTGTAATTAATGTCAATAGCCTTATTGTGATATGTCAATGCATTGCCAGGCAACGGCCCGATGAACACCCCGCGACACGCGCAGGCAGCAATAGGACGAATGTTTATAGCTCGTTGCTAGACAAGAGTGAGCCCGTCACTGAGTTAAGTCCTGTCTGTCTCCCGGTTGGTCAGTCATCGATTCGGCCCCTCGGTGACTGGGTCAGTTACATCTTTAGTTTTAGCTTCTCAGACAATTCACTTATTAACACTTAAAGTTACCATCTGCCGTGGTGACCAGTTTCAAGTGGTCTGGATACTTCTTGATGAGCCTTTTGATCACATCTATTTGCTCCAGAGTCTGTGCGACAGAGCCCGTCACTGAGTTAAGTCCTGTCTGTCTCCCGGTTGGTCAGTCATCGATTCGGCCCCTCGGTGACTGGGTCAGTTACATCTTTAGTTTTAGCTTCTCAGACAATTCACTTATTAACACTTAAAGTTACCATCTGCCGTGGTGACCAGTTTCAAGTGGTCTGGATACTTCTTGATGAGCCTTTTGATCACATCTATTTGCTCCAGAGTCTGTGCGACAGCGTCTTTGTACTGAGACTTACAGGAGACGTAGGCCACCCAGAACTGCGAGCAAAGTGCGACATATTTAGTGAAACTGTTCTAGAGATGAAGTGACAAGAGGTTGGAGGAAACTGCATAATGAGGAGCTTCATAAATTGTACTCTTCTCCAAGTATAATTAGAATGATCAAGTCAAGGACGATTAGGTGGGCCGGGCATGTAGTACGAATGGGGGAGAAGAGGAATGCATATAGCATATTGGAGGGAAAGTCAGAAGGAAAGAGACCGCTGGGAAGACCAAGACGTAGGTTGGTGGAAAATAATAAAATGGATAGGGATGGTAAGGACTGGATTGATCTGGCTCAGGATATGGACTAGTGGAGGGATCTTGTGAACTTTCGGGTTCCATAAAATGATGGGAAATTCTTGAGAAGCTGCAGAATTGGCGGCTCCTCCAGAAGGGCTTAGCTCCATGAGTAAGTAAGTAAGTAAGTGAAACTCTTCTTTTGTAGTGGACGAGATTGAATTTGGTAACTGCTGCTACGATCCGGTTCAGAATATTCAACCTCTGCATATCACGTGAACCAATTTAAATTCTAAAATATGAAATAGACCAAGTTTGATACAAGTTTCATATACAGTAAAAGTTATGCAGGACCGATATAAATCCTAATTAAATTCAACTGATAACATTCAATGTAGACTCCCAATACATTTCACGGAACTGTGTTCAGTAGTTTGTGAGGTGGGGTTAGAAACACGACGACAAAAGGACGGACAGACAAGACCTTCTCTGCTTAGATCCGTGTGATCTACAAGGAATGATAACTCTTCTCACCTGAGCTCCCACTCTGCCTTCCTTCAGTCTTCTCAGGTCCGTGAAGCAGCTACTGCAGTTCCACACAGGATCACCCTTCAAATCTTCGAAACTGAAGTTCTTCAGGAAGTTGTGATTCAGCGTCTTTAAGTTGTAAGGCAAGTCGTTATGCCTGAAACAGACGCCATAACTCTTCATAATTTCGAAACGAAACGGAAGATACACTGGGTTCGCCATGCAAATAAGGACCGAATAATACAGATATATTATACAGGTTGTCCTAGGAGGAAAGGTCAATATATCTGGGAGCTCCTAGTATCGGTCATTCTGAGCAAAGAGATATTTATGTACATGTGTCCTATTCCGAACGGGTTTCGAGATGCAGCTACTTCACTGTACAGTAGTTTGGATTTGGCGCCAAATGTTGTCCTTCCCTCCCGCCGTACTGAGGCACTGTCTGCAGTATGTGAATTTGTGTCAAGAGTCAGTTGACCGTTGTGACTGTTGATAGTGATATTATAGGAGTGTTATGAAAAAGTTGCATATCTGTTGACGAATACCGTCGGCGGATTCCTATGCGCAGAATTCCGAGTCAAGATGCACTCAGACAAGAAACACGCCATGTCCCAACACGATTTGCAAAGTGAATTGATATTGAGGGTGGAATTTTCAAAAATGTATTATACTCGTACTTGGTAATCTGTAACAACGGCGGTCACGGTAGCCGAGCGGTCTAAGGCACGTAGTCTTCGCTCGCTCGGAAACCGGGATCGTGGGTTCGAATCCCATTCAGGGCATGGATGTTTAGTTTGTGTGTGTGCGGTTTTCCGTGTTTGTGTACAGGTAGAGGCCTTGCGACGAGCTTATCACACGCCCAAGGAGTCCTACCGTATGTGTAAGATCTAGAAAAACTGAAGTGAACGGAGAAGTTCATGGAGGTAGGCCTAGGCCCACTGGGGCTGTAGTGCCAAGGAAAAAAATAACTGTAACAACTTTGTACTTGATTAATAAATACCAGTATTAGAAGCAATACGCAATATCTCCTTCTTACCAACAATTTTGGAACTTTACAGTGAAACAGCTTTATCTGGGAAACCAATCGGAATAGGACACATGTATGTATACAATATTTTGCTTAGAATGACTGATACTATGACCTCCCAGAAAATTGACCTTTTCTTCTGGGACACTCTGTATATGATCTTGGTGGCAAGAAATAAGAATATTTTCGGAACGGTTACAGATTCAAACATGACGGAACGTGAAAAGAGCATGGAAACTCATGAGGTTTATGTGGAGTATTTTGATGTCCGCCTTCATATGGCGTAACGAGAGATTGGACTTAACCGGGTCTAGATAAGGCAAGCTTCAGCCAACGCAACAATAAATTTTGGGTGCCGTAGTGTCAGGGAATTTCTTCGCCTGTTGACCACCTCGTATAAACTTTTCAAGGATGACCACTGTAGAGTGGGTTAATTCTCTGCAAATTAATTCTTAAGCGGGACATCCCGCCTGGTATAATTCGTGGACATACCGGAATGCGAGACGTGAATGAAATACTAATCGATTTATTACACCTCTTAAGGGAGATTTTATATGATCTTTTTATTGCAAAGCTGTCATTTCGTGGCCACCGTCATATCACATGCAAATGGTAATGTCACACTGGGCCCTGTTTGTAAGGATGAATATACGACGCGAGACTGACTATACAAGTACAGGCGTTGAACAAAACAATGGAACACTAGCGACACCGTACGAATTTCTTTCTTAATATGATGCTGGACCAGCTTTTGTCTTCAATACAGCCGCAATCCTTCTTGGAATGGACTCGTACAAGTTTCGAACAGTCTCTAGCGGAATTTTATACAATTCTTCTTCAAGAACATCTTCAGGTTGCTTTATAGATGTTGGAGATGGAAATCTGTTCCTCAATTAAGTCACCAAAACTGACCAGAGTGGTTCATTGATATTCAAATCTGTTTTTTTTTTTGGCTAGGGAAAATGCTGAAGTTCACCTTCACACATTTCAAGCAATGACTGTACAGTTCCAGCTGTGTGAATGGGGGCACTGTTGTCTTGGAAAACTGCATCGATGTTCGGAAATAACGTCTGGATCATGGGATGCACCTGATTACTCAACCTGTCCACTTATTCTCTTTCAGGAATTCGTATATGAAGGATAACTGTGGGACTAACTGAATATTGTGCCACGATATTGCTGCCGAGACAAACACTGAACATCCCCGTGTTTCACTGTTGGAACCAGGCATTCCAGATTGTAGGCTTTCTTAGTGTTCTCCAAACGCAATTTTTTCCTGCTGTAGGGAACAGCGTGAAGGATGACTCATCTGACCATATTACGCGAGCGTTTCCGGTTGTCTGATATCCAGGTTTTACGGTCGTGACACAATTGTTTACGCATCTAAGCATTACTTTCGGTATTCAGAGGTTTAGCAATTACAGCCCTACCATGGATGTTAGATTTGTGAAGCTCACATCGGACAGTTTTTGTGGAAACATGGTCTTCAGGATGAATATTCAGTTCTGCTTTAACCTGTGCTGCAGTATATCTGTGGTTTCCCGAAACAGTCCTTCTCAATATACCAAGATCTTTTTCTGTCAATGTTGAATTTCGCCCACTGTTCCTCTTCGCTGATGTTGTCTTCTCATGAGTCGTGTATGCCGACATAACCTTAGAAACTGTCGCTCTTGGACACCTAGCAATGTGGCAGTTTTTATTATAGACGCTCCAGTTAACGCGCACGAACAATCTGTCCTCTTTCCAAATCGGACAAGTCTCCAATTTCCCGATTCTTTCATATGGACTGTCACTCAACACAATCACTACTCCACTGACACGAACATTACAGATTGTAAACAAACGGAAGAACATTCAGTGTTGCCAGCTAATATCCTTTCAGTGTAGCCGACACAAATTCTGTTCCTGAATTTTTTAGTGTTTCCATTATTTTGTCCACTTCTGTAACTATGCAACAAAAAGGATACTTATGGTAAGGGCATATCGTAAATGATCCTTTAAAACACTAACAATTCTTTTATTTTAAATCGAAGTTTACAAATATAGTATAATTATATGTGGCGACAGTGATAAAGTTAATATATATTGCTTAAAGTATCTTGATGACTGAAGTATAAAGTTCTGTTGGATTAAATAGGCCTACGTGGAATTGTACAAATGACCATAATGAAAGGAACTTTACGTACTTTATTTCCTATGTACTGTCACGTGTTTATGGTTGCGTGGCTAATATTAACGGGTTTTGGAATGGATGTTTGGATTTATTGACGCCTTCTTTACAGACATAATCAAAATCAATTGCAGTAACTCACAATAAATCTTCAGCCCAACCCTTCCCCCTGACCGCCGAGGTCCCTCTCCATTCTGAATCTGATTTGATTCTGTTCTGCACTACTTATATAGTCTCGAGCCGGGCCCTCAGAAAACACATCCGTTGCCTAATACTGGACGTCCTCTATTGTTGTATTTACAGCGCCGTTGCATAGCAACTGAAGTTATCCGATTGTTGTCTGCATATTCGTCGCCGCCGGAATGCGTTTACCTAGTCGTTCCCTAGCAATGTGTCTACATGTCACAGTATGAACTACACACTGTCTTCAATGACACTGTGCTTTAGTATAGGTTAACTTACAGATTTTCAAACTGCCTCGCATTTTCGGGTTAATATTGTTTTCGTTGACAAATATGATTACGTATTGCAAGTACTTGAAAGGAGAAGTCGAGTGGGCCCCAATTCAGTTTCTTATCTAGAAAACCGAGATTAACGGCCGTGGTAATCCGTTGCGCTGACCACGCGACACCCTCTATCCGCAGAAGTTGCAACTAGCTTCCCTGACAAGCGGCTGTCGCTCGGTCGGTAATAGTTCGCTTGCGGACTAAAGGTCACGGAGGAAAGTAAAATTAATAGTGTACACCTACATTTGCGATTTAACTCTTCCTACGTCGAGTGTTCTTTTAAACTGAAATATTTTCCAATTGTGTTCCTTTCTCTGTGTACCATCAATTCACAGACACGTTACACAACAAGAAATAGAAGTTATCTTCATTGATATCGTTAAATATTTGTCAAAAGGCCGGAATTTCTAGTCGAGGTATATTGTTAGTAACACCGAAAGGACTAATGGGGTTAAACTGTACTCTTCCTTACCCGTCCACCAGGGGAACTTCTTTAAGGATACCGGCTCCAATTGCAGATTCTTCGCCTCCCAGTGTGGCGGCGAGCACAATGGCGATAATCACCAGAACACCGAGAATCACACCGCCCACCAGCACCAAGTTTCTGGAAACTGATCAGAAAAAAGAAACATGTAGCAAGTATGTTGGCCTCTAAATCAACTGAGCAAGGTCCTACTTGAGGAAAAGTTTGCCGCTCAGATGGTCCATTATGATGCCCGCGTCTAGACTTATACGGAGCCGGCTGAATCCAGTCCATATCAAAGATTATTGCTTTAAGATACGTATTAATAATATGATACGATGCCTGAAAGCCTGAAGTGCGCAGTCAGAGAAGCACAAGGGGACGTCTGTTGCTAGACAACGGATAGGTAAACACTTGTTCCCGCAGCAACGATTTAACACACGTTTCTATCGAGGTAGATTCCTACAAACCAACTCAGTACAAAACACATTTCCGCGGCAATGAATGTCCTGGCATAAATCAAACACCCCGAGTGTAAGAGTACGTTATAAATATTGGGGTTATTCATATAAATGTCAAGACGTGGGAGTACTGTACTTCTGAGACACTAATTAAAATGGGCAGGAATTAATTTTTTGTAGAATCTAGGCACAATTGAGAAAAAAACAAAGCAACAATCAGAGAAACAAAGGACCTGAAAGTTACCTAGAGCATTACTACTACAGTAACACCCTCGGTGCTCTGGATTAGACTCTATTTTTCGAAGACTACAGTTACTGTCAGCAGATGTTCTTATGACACGTCATCACCCACATTTCAACGANTAGAGCATTACTACTACAGTAACACCCTCGGTGCTCTGGATTAGACCCTATTTTTTCGAAGACTGCAGTTACTGTCAGCAGATGTTCTTATGATACGTCATCATCCACATTTCAACGATTCACGATCTGTCATCAAACTGATATATTTCACGTTCTTCTTGTGCATTTAGTATTGTCACGTGTAGGGTGGTACGCGCGACGAAAATGACGGGTTTGAGTGGATTTATTAGCACTTCGGTTACAGCCTCTCTTAATTACAGTCAATACTGCGATATCGCTGCTTTACACACACTGGTCCTCTCCTGGTAACAATACTAAAACAGAGGAACTAGCGCTTCAGATCACTCCAAACATTACACATGAATAAAATCTTCTAATTGCACTTCAAATCCTCACAGGTCGACGAAATTTCCGGGGCTGTCTCCTGCCGAGAACTCAGAACTCTGTCGGTTATTGCCTTGGTTAAAGTCAAAGTTACACTGCGACCGACGGTCAGTCAGTAAGTCTTGGAGTCGAGCCCCATATTTATTATTGCTTGACAGTTAGGTCTTCCTTTTGTGGGGCGCCATCTCTGACGAGAGGACGGGTCTGTCTTTTGTATATGCTGCTGGTCCTTGCCAGTGCAGTCTTTCTCGGGGCCGAGTTCCTTGGAACTTGGAACCATATTTTACTCTCCCAAATTTGAGACTTCCCTTTTCGTCGCCTCCTACGACTCGCAGGGTCACGCTGGAGGTATTCGACTCCGCCTCCACACGGGTTATTCTTTAGAATCTCGTTATATGGCCGCGGCACGGACCACACAGAAAACATTCTTTCTATTGTTGAGGTCTGTTTACAGAGCCGCTGCATAGCAACGGTCGCGGAGCGGACCCCATAGAGAACTGTATATTGTTGCGTAATGTAACGTGTTTACAGAGCTGCTGCCGTTACAGTATACACGTATATGCAGTATACATACTTCCCACTGTTTTTAACCTTGGTTGTAGGCCTTCTAGTCAAAATATATGGGGATTTCGCTTCGGAATTCCAGGTTTCATCCGCCGATTAATATTAACTTCGCATAAATATTTACATAAAAGTCAAGAATAAGAGCAAACAGTTCAATTCGAGTCACCGAAGGCAATTACACTGTCAGGTTCAAACAGCGCTGCGTGGCCGTACTGCCCGGTGATATAAAAGGCGTGCTGAAGACATTCCTGCTAGCGTAGTTTACATATGTCATACATGAGTGCTTTTTATGTATATGCCTTTTTAGAGATGTCAGGAAGTTCTGTGAAGAACGTATAGCGCATTATGTTCCTTTGAATGCTTTAATATTTAAATGGTGATGATTTAAATTAGAATGTTTAAGGAGTGCATTCTGTTGTGTGTCAGTGCTATATACTTGTATATGCGTTTTTGTTCTTCCTGTCAGACAAAACAAAACCCAAATAATTCGGATTCTACTGTCCTAACTGAGCTTATTGGTCGTACAGCGTCGCTACATGTTTCGGTTCATGGGGCCATCATCAGGGGATATATTAAGAAGCTTTAGACTATTGAATTGTGCCTCCTATATGGATCCATATACTGTGTTTATCGTAGTGTTTTACAAATAAAATAAAAAATATGGCGTGCTTCTCTCACTTTCACTAATCACCTTTATATGCACAGATTAAATGGTTCTATACTGAACCTAAACTGGTTTAAAATGTATTAAACAAGCATTTAAAACTTATTAAAAATCTTCAAAATTTGTACAATAATCGAAAAGTTTAAATATTATTAAAATTGTAAGGTATGAAACTTATGGAAATATCATATTCTGGATATTGTTAGTGGTTAATTCTCATCCTTCCGGTCAGGGTAGCCGAGCGGTCTAAGACATGTACTGTCTTCGCCCGCTTGGAAGCCGGGACCGTGGGTTCGAATCCCACACAAGGCATGAATGTTTGGTATGTGTATGTGTTTATTCTGTGTCTCTGTTGTCCTGTATTTAGGTAGAGGCCTTGAGACGGGCTGATCGCCCGTCCAAGGAGTCCTACAGTCTGTAAAATGCTCAGAAAGGAGAGAAACAACCTCGACACCGCAAGGGTATAAGAGGAACGGATTGAGAGAGTAGGTAATTCTCATCTTTAAGTCTAAGTAAGGTATGGATTTTCTCTGCTGGTCTTGTTGGGCTTGTCTGTGCCTACAGTTGGGACTCGACAAGCGATGAAAACAGCGTAGGCTCGAATAAAGACTACAGATCCAACAACAAACTTAATATACCCAACCACGATCCAACGCCAAATATGAACAACATAGGGGAAAACAATTACATCGCATACACAACATTTGGATCAAGATAATAGCCATAAGCCGAACTGGGATCACAGACAACAACAAGCCAAAGATGAACAACAGAGAGAATCTATACCTTATTTAATCTAAGGATGAGAATTAACCACTAAAAATATCCAGAATATTTTACATAAATGTAATATTTTAACATTTTAATAATATTTCAACTTATCAATATATTGTTTAATATTTGAAGATTTTTAATAAGTTTTAAATGCTTGTTTAATACATTTTAACAGTTTAGGTTCAGTATAGAACCATTTAATCTGTGCCTGTAAAGGTGATTAGTGAAAGTGAGAGAAGCACGCCATATTTTTCATTTTATTTGTAAAACACTACGATAAACACAATATATGGATCCATATAGGAGGCACAATTCAATAGTCTAAAGCTTCTTAATATATCCCCTGATGATGGCCCCATGAACCGAAACATGTAGCGACGCTGTACGACCAATAAGCTCAGTTAGGACAGTAGAATGTGAGTTATTTGGGTTTTGTTGTGTCTGACAAGGAAAACAAAAACTCGCTCACTCATGGAGTTGAGCCCTTCTCGAGAAGGCGCCAATTGTGCAGCTACTCAAGAAATTTCCCAGCATTTTATGGAAACCGAAGTTTAATTACCGTGTTCACAAGAGCCCTTTACTGGTCCCTATCCTGAGCCAGATAAATCCAATCCATACCATCCCATCCTATATCTCTAAGATTCATTTTAATATTGTTCACCCACCTACGTCATGGTCTTAACTCATATGACGAAATTAGAATTACTGGTTGATTTCTGTACCAGTTCCCACTAGTACAGATTTCAACGACGTTAAATTTTCACGATTCTTCAACGAATCGCACCGGTGTCATGTTTACACACTTGTGGAAGTGCCCACTGCAATTAAATGTCATCGTTCACTCAATTTACTCCTCGCCTTTCAAGTGACCATATGTAGTTACGCAACACAGTCATAAACCACTTCCTATGACATTATATATATGTACATGTACGTGTGTGGAAAGTATATAAATAACTCAAAGTCATAAACCGCCTCCTAATATATATATACGAAAGTACTTATTCACTTATGCCAATAGTGCTTAACTGACAGTTACGATTACAGTCAGCAAATGTGTGTATTTCATAACTCGTGACGTTATATAAGTATAATCGCCGGTTACTTATTTATAATACAAGGTAATACATGCCTGTCGTAAAACACAAACACACACACACATACAAAATGTTTCATACGAATTACATATGTTGAAAGTCTCCATATGCAAAATTTCGCATGCCTACCTCAAATTCTTAACTAATTAACTGCATAAAATTAAAACTTGAGATATATCGTGCTGCCACCATGGGGCTGGTTTACAGTCTAAAAAATACCTTTGTAAATTTCCAGATTTTGAATATACTCGTACAGCGTATTATCATGCAAAATGTTATGTGGTTCATGTCTTGGAAAGACCGTTACTTCCAATGCAGACGCCTCATGTCGGCCTTATTACTGGTAACAGGAAACTGAAACAAAGGTTTCCTGAAAATGAGCAGAAGGGTGATGGACACACGATCGATAGATAGATAGGTAGGTAGGTAGGTAAGTAAGTAGGTAAGTATGTAGACAGACAGATAGATAGATAGATCATGGAACATAAATCAAAACTCCTGCTCTGTGTAAATTTTGGGACGATGATATACTGACACAATGACCGATTTTCGAACATTTTCCATCGTCCTATTTTTACTGAAAATAATGTTTCGGAGGCTGCACTCTGTCTCTGAAACATCCTTCTAAGTAGGACGATGGATGATGTTCAGAAAGCCAATCGTTGTACAGTTTTCTGTGCCTAAAAACTTGCAATGTTGTAAAGCTCTTCCCTTTCTGAGCCTTGCCACTAGACACAGGTGAGCAGTCAGCTGCAGCCGACTTCCTGCCAGTGTAACAGCCTCCCGCACTTTCAGCTGCGAGACCGGATAGCTCCACGGTCATTCCCCATACATATATGTC